AGTAAATAATGGCGAAGAAATGGAGACTGATAGGAAGAAATGGAGAGGAATGATGGTTGCGTCGAAGGGCCTGTATGGCCTATATAAAGGCAATGGAGAAGAAAATCGTTCAAAAGCATTATTACAAATAAATCATGTTAACTTAGCTTTTACACGATTTCACGTTTTGCAATTGAGAATCGATTCCGTTGAAATCCTCTGTACTTCACTTTCTATACCTCGACTGTCTTTTAATAAAACAGTACAGCAGACCTAAACGACACCGAACGATGACGAAAACCATGTAATTTTTAACAGACGTTATCTTCAAGTAATAAGGAATACCACATTTGCTTATATATTGTACGTATTGGAAAGGCAAACTGAATATGTAAGGTCTACTGTCTTGCATGATCGTAGAAGGTCAGTGGGCCAGTCCTAACCTGGTACATGTAACATAAAATTAACAAAATGTATTTACGTCCCCTGTGATAGTAGTCCTATAGTGAAACACTAATATATACAACTCTTGTGACAGTGAAACTCAACATTTTGATTAAACACAACCAGAATGGGTTTATGATAATATCAACACGGACGAGCAAGTGCAAACAACACCCTTACCCTAACCGTATACACATAATGATAAATCGTTACATTACCAACAAATAAAGCAGATAATTTAAAACTGAAAAGTAGGTACTACACGCTGACGTGGTCGTACTAGTTAAAAACAATTTTAAATTAAAAATCTACCAACTATTAACAATGATAAGCCAATGTTATTTTATCGATTATATTGTTTTACAGTATTTTTTTATGATTTAGTTTATCTATCGGACTTTAGCATCTATAACTAACGCAACAATATATACCCCGTTCTGGCATAAAGTTCAAAGTTTTTCTAATTAAAAGTTTATGAAGCTGCAAAAAAACATTTAAAATTAATGGCTTTAAATCGACTTAATCTTTCTTTATCGTTAAATGAAAAAGCCTATTAGTCTCGTAACGTTTATGAATGTATTTAACGTTGACATTTTACAAAATTTCAAGAAATCGGCGAATGGCCCTTGCATACACTTAATTTATTAGCATAAGCTAAATTAAATTTTAAGAAAGCTTTGATAATATTCAAACTGCAATAAGACATGTTGTCAATACATTACATTTAATGGTTACACTTAATTAGATATTTAACCACTTTTTTTTATTTCTGGTACTAATTTTTTAATTTTAATTTAAATAGTTGTCAGAGTATATTTTTATATAGCGCTGCTTAGCGTTGGTTGTAACGTTGAGAACAATTTTGCGCCATTGGAAAATTATAAAATAATGGTTTTTATTTTAATCGTTATTACACATAATATGTATATATATAGTAACCATGAATGGAGTAAGTGTTGTAGAGTGTAGTTAGTAATTCGAAATAAGAAACATACTTTTTTGATATTTATTTTAATTATTTGTGTTGTATTTAATTTTAGTTATTTTAACTACTAAAGAGTAACCTAATAAATTTATATTATAAAGCTGAAAATCGTCTGTTTTTATTAGTAATTTGACACACTCATAAAAATACAATTTTTATTTTAATTCCATAAAAGATATCTAATCGAAATTCTTTCTGTGACTAGAGTTTTTAGTTGTTTTTGCTATTATTTTTTTTTCCTCGATCCAATGATCTATTTGAACTTTTTCCTCGTCTCCATTTTATGTTAACCAAAACACTTCTGGTAGAGCTCACAGACCAGTAATGCGAGAACCGAGCAATGTTAGAATATATAAATAAAAAATTATGTAAATACGTGTAGTAGGTAATATTTACATAATATCAAGATTTGTGTGTATGGCACATAAGTATCTACTGAATTTTGAACTTTTTGTTGAATTTATTTGGCTTATTATTTAATGTTTGCCTGTTATGTATAATAAGTATCTAATGGAATTACTAACTGAATGTACTTGTGTTTTACTAGTAATTTGTTAAGTTTTTTATTTATGGCTATTACAAGCCAGTAATAGTTAAAAAGGGTCTTTTAGTTATTTACTTTTTATATTTAATAATAAACATGCAATATATATTATTTATACTAACGGTATTTTTTTACAAAGCTATAGAAAACTGTTAAAAAACCAAATTATACTAAAACTAACATAAAAAAACTTATTACATTTTAACAAAGACTGATGATAAATAGGGATGTTAGTAGAAGACGAATGGGAAAATATTGTGGCTCAAAGAGACAGGAGGTCACGCAAGGAAAGGATTATTTTAATATATCTACCGTGTCACTTTAAGATTCTATTAAACTGCGAAGTAAAAGACAGTAAAACAAAATATGCTAACGTAGTTTACTAAAATACGATTTTTCCTTCTAGAAACTCAGCTAAACTAAACAGAAATGTAATGAAACTAGGAGCTATATTTTCAAACATTTATTTTTAAACAAAACTTTATTCAAATAAAGGAGTATTTTTATCAAGTTTTCTTTTTAAAAAAAAGGTTTTTTTTCGAATTTTCCTAGTTTTGTGTAGTATTATAAAAATATCAGATTTTCATTATGATAAAAGTTAAATCACTTTAATGAAATTTAATTTAAAATCACATTAAACACATTTTTTTTTTATTTCTGTAAGACGTACTTTATGTAATTAAAAATCCCTAAGTATCGCTACTAGAAAGAAAGTTTCTAAGGAGGATATGTGGGCCATGTATTAAGATCTGACACGATCTCTCAAAAGTAGTCCTGAGTTGGAAATCACGAGGGAAGAGACCCTTAGGTAGCTATGCAACGATGGTCTGATAAAGTCGCAAAGAACCTAACAATACTAGGAGTGGAAAATTACAAGAAGGTAGCGCTGGATAGAGAGAGATGGAAATAGGTGTAAGAAGTGTGTGATTGCAGCAATGGGCCTAAATAGCGTTTCAAGTTGAATAAAGAATAAGAAGAAAAAGTTTTTCAGCCGAGTCTGCAACCACGAAAGAGCATTTTCATGTCTCGTTGAAGTACCGAATAAATTTAGATTAGGAGTGGAATTATAATTAAAAAAAAAAAATTATATGGAGCTTCCAGTTACAGCATAAGGCCAAGGAGATTAAAAAATTATGTATAATCAAGTTTCTGGCTAAAATTGTAGTGTTTATTATCTGGCCAAAAGTAACTTAACATAGAGAATTAAACTATTTTGAATTTATTATTTAGTTCTAATTTGAACGTTGAACGTACAACATATCTCTTATCTACTATATCTTACCCCTCTCCCCTACCCACTATCTCCCGTCCTTATCACTCACCCCTATCTCCCACCCTATCCCTACTCCCTAATCTCTCACCCCTATCTCACCCCCTATATCCCTCCCTATCACTCACCCCCCCCTATATCCCTCCCTATCACTCACCCCTATCTCCCACCCTATATCCTGTCCCCAACCCCAACCCTATCCCACCACCACCCCTTATCTCCCACCCCTATCTCACACCTCTATCTCCTGTCCCCAACCCCAACCCTATCCCACCCCGACCCCTTATCTCCTACCCCTATTTCCACCTCCAACCCATCTCCGTGTGGTAACGCTTCTTTGGTAACGCTTTTTTCGTTACGCTTTTTTTCGGTTAAGTACCGGCTAATTCTCACCCCCAACCCCAACCCCATTCCCACCCCATTTCTTTTTGACATTTTCATGTCTTAGCTCTGGTACATAACCCTGGCAAATATCCGAAAAAAGCGTTACCATAACAGCGTTACCAAAAGAGCGTAACGAAAAAAGCGAAAGGGTTGGGGACGGGAGATAGGGGTGGAATAGGGGGTAGGAGATAAGGGTGAGATTTAGCCGGTAAATAACCGAAAAAAGTGTTACCAAAAAAGCGTTACGCTGTTACGCGCCGCAATGTAACAAAAACTACGAAGCGACGACGAAAGACAATTATCGGAATGACCATTTCGGATCTATTTCGAATGTTAATCTGTTACGCTGTTATCTGATTTGAGATAAGAGATATGTTGTACGTTCAACGTTCAAATTAGAACTAAATAATAAATTCAAAACAGTTTAAGAGCCCAATTTCTCTATGAATTGTTTTAAGCCAGCAATAAACACTACAATTTTAGCCAGAAACTTGACGTTTTATTATACTAGCTTGTTACCGCTCGTTAATTTACTATATCATTATCTATAATTCCACCACTACTCTAAATTTATTCGGTACTTCAACGAGACATGAAAATGATCTTTCGTGGTTGCAGACTCGGCTGAAAAACTGTCTTTTTTGGTAACGCTTTTTTGATAACGCTTTTTTCGGAAATGTGCCAGGGTTATGTGCCAGAGCTAAGACATGAAAATGTCAAAATCCCTAATAACAATATTTGATAAATATTTCCTACAAAACATCTTATTTAAAATCACGTACATTTGTATTAGGTAAACGTTTTAGTATTCAGTTTTAACAGGCCAAGTAAAAATGTTTCATATTAATTTATCAAATTTTCAAGAATTTGTAATTTTTTGTTTTGTTTTATCCACTAGATAGCATAATTCCCGATTACTGTCAACAAATTCATTGATTTTTTTAATTACATTTTTTTTAACAAATATGTATACTTTATAGACGCATATGCAAGGATTTAGAGGAAGTCAAGAACAATATAAATATTGCCTTTAGGCTCGCACAAAATATTAGTATCTCAACTCCTAATTAAGGATATTATTTTTACCCGCAACATTCGTGAATGCTTGAAGGATATAAACTTTCTTAAACCTCCCCCCCCCTGAATCCGCCCTTGTAGGTGTAGTATATACTACTATTCACAAACGTATATCGTTATAATACTTCAATTAGTATATGACCGTAATAATTTGTATTTAATAGAAACCCTATCAACCAAAGTACAGGAACAATAAGAAAACGTTTTTATGTTTTTACCGTAAATTGAATGTGCAACGTTTCTTCCTCGCCATTGGAAAAATATATTTGTAAATATATTTTTTAAATATATAACGTACTTGATTCGTTATTTTTCAGAGAAGTTGTCAAGTAAAATGGAATCTGAACCGGTAATTGTTGTAGACCAAGAAAATTGCTTTGTCGAAGAGGATGAAGAAACGGAAGATGTCAATGCCACTGGAACTCCCGGTACCCCTACACAGAATCCGTTTTTTTTATCGCCGTTCAGAGACATGAGGAAACGTTCATTACCAACGCCACAATGCACATCCGGAATAACTGCTAGTCAGGTGAGTACTTTTTTATACAATTTCATCATCGCTTGAAATTTTTTTTTTTAACTACATGTACAGTAAGAAAATTAATTCAGTTCAAATAAGTAGGAATATCTAAAAAGAAAAAGTAGTTCTGATATATTCTAAGAATTAAGGGCCGTTTTAAAAAGTTTAAATAATTTAACTAATGCCCAATGGCATGAAAGCTAATAAGAAAAATATTCTTTTATTTATTATCTTCTTTACAAATTATCTTTAATTTTAAGCGAAGAAACTTCGTCTCTATTTTTTCAAACGCAGTTTCAAGTTTTATGTAAAATGAACTGTTACATATTGATTGGCAGTTTATACATTTTAGGCAGTTTATTATGTGATGGGAATCGTCCAAATGTTGAAAATGTATGACAATAATAACAGCGTTACGTTTATAGCTGGATTACCACCGGATTAATTCGGGTAAAGCCATGCATATACAACTAACATATATTTTTATATGTATATTAATATAGTTCTTACCCCAGCTTTCAGACCCAAGACACATTATTATGTGTATACATTTCTTTACAGAATTTGAAAGATAACTCTCACAGTTTTAATGTTAAAACAGTGATAACTACCAACACCAAAACACGCAGAATTTAATTTCCCGTCAAAAAAATATCCTTATTAATTTTTAGTAGTATCGATATTTAATTCTCTTACCAGTTTTTGAAGTCAAATTTCGATTAGTCTGTAATTCGATAAACAGCGTAATTTGATAAAGAAAAAATTGTTTTAAGTATCTCAAACGAATAGAAAAAAGTTGAGACCTACTTTGCGTTTAGAGAAGTTTCAATAGGTACAATAAGTTTCAATACCCTAAATAAGTTCAAAGTAAATTAAAAATAAAGCACCGATAATGTCAGGTCATCATTTTGAAGTGAGCACGTGCCACAAGTCAAGTGTCACTATCTTAAAAAAATGTTCTTTTGTGGAGATTTTAATATTATCCCACGATTTTTGCTATAAAATCCCTTACTATTTAATAAGTCAATAATTTGATTTTTCAAAAATATATTTGTATTTTCTCAACAAAAAAAAATGTTAATTTTTAAATGTTGAGTTATGTGTGAATTTGAACTAGGACTTTGTCTCTAATGTCGTGGATTAATTTATTTTATTATCATTAGAAAGTTTTCAACTTTATAGTAAAAGTAGCTTTGTTTTTTTTTTTTTTTTACAATATTATGCAACATGTCTATCGGTAATGCCGTTAGTCATTCTAACCTAAACCTTATTGTTGTCAGGTGCGAAGATTGAGTGACCAAGGAGCTGCCGGCGCGGCCGCCCGCGAAAAGGCATTCTTGGCTACTTTGACCAAGGCGCCGGGTCCTTACGCACCGGGACGCCGACACTCGGTAATCACTATATCCAAGGCACCCATGCCACTATTTGGCCGCAACCGTCGTGAGTCCATCGCGTCATTTCCCAGCAAGGGGCCTCGTTGTAACCGGAGAGATTCTACGTCCGGCGCTGCTCCTTCGCCCAGTGGTAGTCAGTTCAACCTGCAGTTGGACATCATGGACGATATTGCGGACATTAAAGCCGCCCGAAAGGTGCGGATGAAGATGTGGCAGACCGAGGACAAGGAAAAGATGTGCGAACTACAACCATTGGACGGCAGCGCTAACACTCAAATGTCTAGGTACATTATTTAATCAGGTTGAGTTTGGTCATCGATACACTAATTATTTGTAAATCTCGATGTTACTAAATCGAGAAAATGTTTATTATCTACCAACTTTGAAAAGTATCGACTGTGAAATATTAGTAGATTAGGTTGAAGAACCTCACCACTGTCCGAATTATTTACCATGTCGAGATATCAGTAATATACGTATGCCTCCACCAACTTATATATATATATATATACTAACTAAATACTTATAGTTAACTGCGTTCTTATAAGTTATATATACAGTACGCTGTTCTGTTGCATATTTATTTTATTGATAACCTGCTCAGGAGGGAAAATAAATACACCGAAATCGCAATTGCGTATTATGCACGAAAACACAACAACGATAGTGTTACATTTTGCCTAATGGTAACGCCTATTATCTTGTGTAAACATGATTCCCCTTTCTCCCGTTTGCCTGTATACACATTGTCCGTAGCTTTATCGTACTCGGGTTTAATATCGACAAACTCGAGTGGCGTTTCAAAGACGGTGGAATTCGAACGATTCGAAAAATAAATGTACGTTGTTCGGGTATAATTCGGTTTGAGAAAAATATATAATCAAAAACTCACTCCTCGACGAATCCCGACGGCATCCGAGATATTCGTAGAAACGTTCAAACGCTATTTCGTAAAAAAAAAAATAAGAAGAATAATAATACAACCGCTGCTACGGTTGTAATACGTTCAGTTCGATCTTGTCGATTTTGTACAACATGTGTCACATCTCAACTCGAGTCTCGACGTCAAAGGAGATGATTAAATCCGACGAAAGGCCGGACAGTATTTAATCACGAACTCGATAACATTGAGTATACTACAGCTATTATACAGATTCATGGTTGGTCTGAAAAACGTTCTATTTGCCGGCGGACTTGTTATTATTAATTACACTAATGAATGTTGGATAAGCTACTAAATGAAAGGGTACTCGCATCAGATGGAACGTAAAAATAAAATATATACACAACAAATTCACTCTAGGAGCTATACGCTGGTGCCTGTACACTATACCTAGTACCACAACTTAACAATATAACAACAGCGTACCTCTTTCTGCGTTATTATTATTTATGTAAATATATCATACTAGCTCGGCAAAATTGAATAATAAAAAACAATCCAAATGAGATGTAAGCCAAATCCGAGTCGATAAATGAAAAATAGCTGAAAAAATTCGCATATATTACAACAAACTAAATTTCGACTTCAGCATATTTAAAAAACAGTAATATTTAATACATGTTATATTTATACAAAAGTCAAGACTGATTGAAAACAAATATTGTTTTAATTTCGTTAGAGAGAATCACACATTACAATTCTATTTGGGGACCTGACTCCTGACTACTACAGTATAAAATTATTTTTCATCTAGTTTCTATAATCTAAAAACACGGACGCGTTATGCACAATGCTAATCATATTTTAAATAACAATAAAATTAATTAAGTTGCTGAAAAAAACAACTATTTAAATTTTTTTCTTTTTTCTAAATCTGGAAAAAACCCGTGTTTTCGAAATATTCCCGAATTTTTCATCCAGCATTTAAAAATAATAATAGTTGTAGTCCTTATAATACTTGTATAGTAGTTATTGTTTACACCAACAGGTATAACATTAGTGGTCTTTTTTTAGTTATTGTAAGAATTACTGAGGGTTTATTTTAACGTGGTGTATGAGGTGTTTGTGATTATTTAAAAGGTATTTAAAGGTACTATTAAATAATTATATATATTATATTCCTGGTTTTTGTTGGTCAGGTTTAAAGAAGCTCGGCGGTATTCGGATATCGACGTTTGCGAAAAACTGGCACCGCCCGTGCCACCCCGCAGACGAGCGTCAGACTTGCCGGAGTCCACGAGCAAATCTCAGTCGTCCGGCATTGTGTGTACCAACACGGATTTGATGTCTATTATGAACTCACTTAAATCGACGGCCAATAAAGCGCTGTTTAAAGGCCTATCCGGCAGCAAGACAACGGACAGCTTATCGGTGGGCGACCGACGACGAGACACGCTGCGGACCGGCCGATCCAACAGCGTAGACGTGGCCAACTTGCACGGGGCTGTAAGTACCAGTACGCGCAATTGGTTCAGGAAAATGTCCGCCAAAACGTCGGCGTACCGAACTGCGGACGTCGAGTGCCCGGAGCCTCGGCCCGGAGGCAACGGCACCGATTGCGTGCAAAAGTCGCCGGTTGTGGTGACTTTTGCGGACGAACGGCCCAAAGTGTCGCTGTTGGAATCGGTGCCGTGCAAACCGGAAAAACCAGCACAGCAGCCGGTCGATAAAAAGCAGGACGTGGTAGTGTGGGACCGTCCGTCCGGTTCGGTGGTCAATGCCGAGGTGTTGGGCACGGCCATCGAGGGCTTTCTGGCTTCCAAGAAGTCCGGCGACAGCGGCGAAGCGTCACCCGCCGAAGGCGAACCGCCTACTGGAACGTCTTCGTCGAAAGGTGCCAACGACCAGACCGGCCGAACGTGCGATACTTCCATTTGTTCGTCGCTCAAGGACCTTTTCGTCAAATAACTGTAAGACAACTCGTGCCAGTAAATCATGTAACCACGTCGGCCGCTTTTTATATGATATTACAAACGTTGCTTGCAACACCTTTCATGAACATCCCGTTCCACTGCTAAGCTTGTAATATTGTTTTTTTTTTATTTCATTTGATTTAAATTGCACTATATTACTATTAATAACGTGTTAATTGTTACCTAAGCGCAGTTTAAATTTCGAAACTCGTAGCTTTATACCGTAGTTATATAATATAACTGTAATCGTAGAGGTCCCTCGTGTGCCCGTATGGCGTGTACCCTTGTATACTTATATATTTCTTAAACTCACATAAGTCCTGTATATATATAAAGCCCTATACAGGCTGTAAACATATACCAGACTCGGAGCAAAACAATTTTTAACCCGTTCCGTCCCAGTCCGGTTAAAAACAATCTCAAAAATAAACTGACTTGATCTAGTCGATAAAATAAAAAATTAACTGAACTGGAATTGATTTAATAATAATTTCAATCCATTTCTATTCATCCCGAATCTACCTAAAAAAATGAATTATACAAGTAAATAGAAAATAGTACATGCAGTTTTACAAAAACGTCCGAACTTAAAATACACGTGCGCTTAAATTACACGAATCTTATATGGTTTTGGTTCAGATTTATGAAGTACGAGTAAGTACGGGTAATATCCATCACAAATTACGAGCCCTACTTCTTAAAGTAAGTACACATTTTACAGCAATGGTAATTTATTTGACGCAGGTAATAATGTCGTAACACGGTCAACGAAAATATAATTTTACTAGCACGAGTCATTGAAATATAGCATTTATAAGACTTTGAAAACCAATAAGATTGGAAAATAAATGCTTACTGTAAAATTACTTTATATATTTTTATTTAATATATAAATATTAAATTTATATAGTATAATTACCACAAGTGGTAGTCATTTATAAATACTATTTACCTGCTCTATTATTATCTATGCTAAAATACTTTCTCCTCGATTTATGTGTAACATAAAAAATGATTGTCTAAAAATAAAAATGTCTTATAATAATGCCTAAGACTACTCAACAGGAATGTTAGAAGTTATTCGGATAAAAAACGTAATTAATTAAGTAGTATTTAGACCTACTATTTTACGACAATAATCTTTAATTTTAAAGATAAAATTAGGATTAGATAATTAAATTAAAAAAAATATTAAGAAGTATTATCATGTATAAATTATGTCATTATGATAGACCAGTCTTCTTAATGTATAAAATAATAGTAACAATATAAAATATAAAATAAAAGATAAGGTAAGTTTTTTTCTAAAAAAAGTTACATGCGATTAATCCGTAAATAATTATATAAAAAATAACCACCATTATTCGTTCGGTATAATTATAATTTATACGTGTAAATTTTTTAGTTAGATTCGCCATAGTATAAAAGTAAAATATTTTAATACCTACTATCTCAATTTTTGTGTTTTTCAATATTCTCATTCTAAATTAAATTACCTTATTCGCTTTATATATTATAGTTATTATAGTTTTAAAACAAACAGTTTTTTCACGATGCTATAATAAAACCTGTTTTATTGCAAATAGTTATCGTCCGTCAGTTATTATTTTTGAATTATTATTCTGTATGGTACATTAACAAAATATCTATTGGTCCTGTTATTATGTAAAAACCTTGTTTACAACCTAAAATTGCTTTGGTTTATGTTTGAATACTTAAATATATATTTTTTGTTTGTTAGGTCTAAGGACTGCAATACATGGTAAATTATGTGAACAATTATGAGTTGTATATAACTATGTTAAATGATTACTGACTATCATTACTCATAGAAAGGGTACATATAAATTATTGGGTTAAATTAAACAAAAACAAATTATTCTACCTAAAAGCCATATAAATATAATATTTTCCTGTAACTATTGTCTGTAAGTTCACGTTAATTAGTCGCATAAAATAAAATATGTGATGTGAAAATCAAAATGGAACTTCTTGTTAGCATTTTTCAAAATTGAGTTAGTACTGTTTTCAGAGTCTTGATTGATTTTTGAATAATTTGTGACTTAAAACATCTTTTTAACTATAAAATGACTCAATTATTGCACTTATTTTGCTAATGTTAAGTAAATTTCTCGAAATCAACTTTGCAGACAAGAGGTCCCTTTTCGTTTATCGCATCACATATTCTGTAACATTTAATTTTAAATATTATAGTCATTAAGTGTTTAGTATCATAGATTGAAATCAAAATCTTTAGTTCCCAATAACCTTCTAAATTAGTTTATATTACTTAAAGTAGACAAATTGTGCATTTAGTTGAATTGATATCCCTATTATTGGACTAATATTGTCTAATAATATAACTAATTTTAAGTATAGTATATTGTTTATTGATTATATGCAAATGATACAAAAATATCTACTAAATTTAATTTCTACATAGAGCTTTTTCATTTATGTTTTATTGTTGATGCATATAAATGTTTAAAAAAAATGTAACTCAATTATTATTTAGATAATTTAATCAAAAGTTATCTTATTTAATTTATATAACTTATCTAATTATGATTATTTGTCACTTGAAATACATATAATTGTTTTTTTGATCAAATTTAAATAAATTTTAAATGCATATTATTACCCTACTCGTCCTATGTTTATTTGTTTTATTGATGCAGACTGGAGCTTAAAAAAATTGGTAATACGAATTGTAACAAAATGGTAATAGTCTGGTAGCTCAATCGGGTGAAACTAATCCTTATGAGTTTTGTAAAGCAAAGGGTACGGATGAAACTTCGGGAAAAATTATATTTCACTCAATAACTAAAAAAAACAACTTTTTCCAACATTAAATTTATATATTTCAGAATTAGACTGACATTTTACAAATTTAATAAAAATTGTATTCAGAAAAAAAATATTTGTTGACCTAGTTGACCTAGAACAATTAGATTTAATTTGTTCCGGAGATCAATATAATGGAGTAAAAAAAAAGTATTTTACAATTTTATTTTTATGTGTAATTTTAGTTTATTAGCTAGAAGAAACTAAAAAAATTAAATGAAAATCGGCGTCCTACATAACCCGTAGTAAAGTAGTCAAAGAACTAGAATCTCTTTACAGAATTTAAATCGGGCCATTCTATGTATTTTTTTTTTTTTTTTTATAGTCGACATTTTGTCTAGCTTTTTGGTCTTAAATAAACCAAAATGACTGTTACTCATAGAGAAAATTATTTATATTAAAAATAATAGTTTTAAGCTTATACAAATAAACCGGTAAATTAATTGGCATAGTCAATATTTATGATAACCACTTTTTTTTTCTTAAATATTGCCTATACAAAACTCCTTATATAAGATTAATATAATTTTACAAAACAATTAAATATTGTTACGAATTTTACTCTATCATTTCTTAGATTAAACATACCTACATAGATAATATGGTAAGCCATATACTTACTTGATAACACAATTTCAGATGCAAACCTATCTCAACAGTTGCTATGACCTATGTTCTATTGGTTGTGCCCATTTCGTATCATAACAGTTGCCGTATTTCATAGCCCATAAGCTAACAACAGTCTGTTGTTAGCGCTGAAGATGACAACATCGTTGTCGTAACACGTGTACGCAAGAAGTGTATAATTTTTATGGTTTAGGGTTCAAGTAGATTTTATATCTTTAATATTGTGACAATTTATTATTAAGGGACTTCGCGGCTATGACAGAATTGTAGTCCTTAAAAAAGTTCTGAATTCCTCATCATCTCTTCTGTGGTTTGTAGTCTGTAGTACCGACTTTAAACTATTTTTATTTTCCAATATTTTAGAATAGTTAATACACTTTTTTTACAAAAACTTTTAAAATGAAAACAAAAAATAAGAAAAAATTTTCGATAATACACATGACAAAAGAGATGATGAGGAATTAAACTTTTTTCAGAATGGAAATCGGACATGGGAACACAGGGACATCGGACATGGGCTATAGAAGTTGAAAAATAATAGAAGAAAAAATTAAATATTAAAGTAGACTCCTCTTTTTTGTGTGGTAATATATAAATATATTTTAAAATTTTAGCATATAATATAAGTTTTAGTAGAAGGTGCCTATACAATGCCCCTTAATAAATCACAGTCGCGAGGCCTTAATACACACAGATATAATATGATATAATAAACTAGATTGCTAAGTGTACATGCCACTAATATATTATACGAGTATATACAATTGAAGTTACTGTTTTCTGCCAAATGTGGGAATTAGAAACTTTTCACATGAAAATATGTTTAAAACGATAAATTATAATTTAAGTTGATAACACAGAATCATAGATATACACAGATATATATAATAAAATAGATTGCTAACTAGCGATAAGAATTGAAGCCGACGGTCCGCCATTCTGGTGGGATTTAGGTGTGTTATCAATGCATATATGGTTGCCGTACGGTGGTAGGGCATAACACATTACGTACTATACGTTTTTGCCGTACGGTAGTGGGAATGGTGGCTCGTTTTTTTTCTCGAGTGCGCTCTCCAGTGTATTCTTTATCTCGATGATTATATATGTATTATTTTATCCCATAAAAATGGCGGACGTCGACTTCAATTATTCTTATCACTTTAGTATGTATTATTATCATAGATATATATAATAAACTAGATTGTTAACTGTACATGCCACCAATAGAGATTATTGAAGTAGCCACTTTCCGCCATCTTGGGGGGAATAATATATATATATTTATAACAATCACCCATATATAAATATATATATATATATATATAAATATAGTATTGATATAATAATATATACAGATATATATTATATGCATTGATAACACACATAAATCCCACCAGAATGGCGGACCGTCGGCTTCAATTCTTATCGCTAGTTGGCAATCTAGTTTAATAAATATATCTGTGATTATTATAAGGATTTGCGTTTCCAAATTTTGCTACCAAGGTATAAGTCAACCAATAACCACCATAACCTTAAAAATAAACATAGAATCGGATTGTTGTACATTTCGTTATCACGTTACTATTCATTGTATATTGTAATCACTAGTTTCATGGAGTTTGCAATTGTCTCGTATTAAACGTGTATTTACTTTCTAGCGTTTGAATTTCATCCACTTTCATCCTATTACAGGTAACTAGTATATAAACTTATAAATAATAATTATTATTATTAACATTTGAGTATGTATATTTTTGTATAATATTTCAAGCTGTTAATATATTTATTATAATAAGATAAGCCTTAATTGATGATACTCTGGTAGTTACCGGTAAATTGCTAACTCCTGTTACTTCATTTAATTGGTAATTAATAAAAATAAATTACATTTTAGGTTTTAAAAAATGGCTCCTCGTTATGAACTAGCGGTTGGTTTAAAACGAGGTCACAAAACAACAAAAATTGAGAGGGCTAGCAAAGTCGCTGGTAAGGAATTGGCTTCGAAAAGTGAAAAACTTCGCCAAGCTCGTACTAAAGGTGTAAGTAACACTTAATTTTAATGTACAAATTAATTTTGAATTTTAGTCTATAGTTTTAGTGAATTGTGAAACTAGAGTAATGTACCACTTTATAAAATATGCTCTGTTAGTAGTAAACTTAGCAACTGTTCAGTTCAGTTGTTAGTATTATTGACAAAGCTTATGTGCATTCAATCATTAATTAAAATCATTTGGTCTTGGAAGGGAAGTTAAAGGGTTGGAAATTGTAACCCTCTTTATTATGAAATAAATATCACCTTATTCAGCATGTTGAAAATCTTGAATGACTAATACGTGTCTTTATTATCTGAACATTTGTGAATTACACCTATATTTCCAAATTGACATTCTTGACTCCTTTTGGGAAGTCTTTTTGAATCTTTCATCTTAGGGACTGTTTTCAAGAATTGATGTTTATTATACCATTGTTACCTTTTGGCCAAGTATACATCAAGTGATTTGTATATCTAAATATTGATCTTGTAGTTTAGAAGTATAACTGATGATAGTTGATGGTATAACTACAAGTCTTGTTTACTGGAATTCTCAATTATTATGTATTTGTTCCTTTGGAATATTTAGCATTTTCAATCTATTGAATAGTAATTTTAAGTTTGGCCCCCTCAGCGTTATGATAGCAAATTTAATACATTCACTCACGCTTCCCTCCTCACATAAATTTTAATGCAAATAACTCGAACATTTGGATAACCTCCTGTTTATAGATAAATTTAAAAAAAATGAAAGCTATGTTTCCTTTATTCAACTTTCATTTAAAATACTTATGAGTTCAATGTTTTATCTATATATTTTTATTTTATTTATTAATGAAACAAGCTTAGCAAATTAAAAATTACATTCAGTCATTAAGTATGACTGATAATTATTACATAACAATAATGGTAGTCTTAATGAAATATGGCTAATAGAGGGAAAATGTGGGGTAGTTATTAGCGGTCGTCATTGAACAAGTAATATAGAAAGGATTTAGAAGAACGAGGGATGATATTTGCTTTATATAATAATAAATATTTATTGATAAAGTTATTTTTTTAAATAAAAATAGGTTGTTTATGAATCAACTAAAATATTATATAATATTAAATTATATTATTTCATGTGCATTTGTAATTGTATTTACATTGAAATGTTTAGCGTAACACAAAACACAACAAATTTATCAGAGATGTAGTAAGGGAAGTGATGGGACATGCTCCATTTGAAAAGCGAGCCATGGAATTGTTGAAGGTTTCCAAGGATAAGCGAGCATTGAAATTCTTGAAGAGACGAGTAATTATTTCTAAAATTATTTTTGTTTACATACATTAATGCTTATATATATTATATATAATGTATTTGTATTAAATATCATATTTTTTTTTTTACAGTTGGGAACACACATTAGAGCTAAGAGGAAGCGTGAAGAACTCAGTAACATCTTATTACAAATGAGAAAAGCCCAAGCTACTCACACAAAGTAGTTTTAATGCCTATGAGATGACCTTGTTTGATATTTAATAAAACTGTTGAGTAATCAGCATTTTCTTTAATATTACAATTGGTTTCTTTTTCTTTTTACTTTAAAAATGTTCTCCACATAAACCTCATAAAAGTTTTAAATAAATTATCATTATAAAATATATTAAGATCAGAATTCAATGTCATTAAATAATATATAATTATAATTTCTACCTTGTAACATGGTAAGTTGCCTAATTATGGGTCAATCTTATGTTATAGAGAAATTTTTTTTATGCTCTGTTGAATCTAAATCCTTTTTTCAGTTCCGGTTATACTTTTGATGTACAAAAAGTTGTCGGTTTTAACATGTTAGCTATGAAGTAGCAACATTGACACCCTTACTTACTAAGTTTTAAGAACGCTATGTACAGACATGTAAATAGGTTACCATTGCCAACATGTTAATTGAACATATGATATTAAAGATAGATGATACTTAGAGGATGATCAACATAAATAATGCATTTTAAAAAATATAGTATAATCGTATAAAATAAATTAAAATATTTTTTTTATAAATATCTATATAAAAGAATGTTAAAAATAAACAAATTTATATTTTTTAACTTAGCTTAGTCACCTAAATTATATCCTTATACTTAAGTTAACATTAATAAATAATTAAAATAATAATAATGAATTAGTTATTTACTAACCGAACCTGAATAAAAAAATTTAAAAACTAAAAAAATGGTTGTGGACGGTTTCAATACTTTGATGGCGGTTGTATACTTTTGGTACATAATAACTACTTAACTTGCATTCAAATTTTAAGTAAAAAGTTACCTAACCAGTCTTAATAGTATTAATTGACAAATTTTAAAATAAATATATATTTGTTAACTAAGTAGTAATAGAAAATGTGATTTGATAAAAGTATATATAAATAGCTTAATAACTGTAAAAAAAAATGGCAGTTCAAATACAGATCTGGCCTTAGAAATATATTCTTGTTCGATGAAATATTTGATTTGGTTAAGTACCTTGTATAATGTTACATTAAAAATTACTACTAAACAAATGCATGTTTTTATAAATGTATGATAATAACCAATCAATATAAAAAATGTTTATTAAAACATTTCATACATCTGAATTGCTCCTAAGTAGATTACTCGTGTCTAAAGCAGAATCTGGAACTTGGAATGTTGATCCTTGAAATCCAAGTGAGGCTTCAAATAACTGTACATACATATAAAAAATGTAACTGGTTATATTATATTGTTGAAAGTATATTATATACTTTTATACATCAACGAATATAATATCAATTAAATATTTAATGATAATTTATTATTATTGAAATAACCTGTTGACTGTGTGATGTAGCTCCATCTGGTGGCAATGGCAAAACAGAACCACCTAAAGTTGCATACTCCCCTGGCGTCATTGTTAAAAGTGTATTTATAGAACCACGGCGAGAAGGACGACGTATAGTAGCATAAGTGTTGTCTCCCTAAAACAAAAATAAAATCGGTACAATTTATTTTATATAAATTGTACATGGTATATGGTTTCAAGTTATAACATTATTATATTAACTTAAAAAACTATTGCTCAAATAAGAGGCTAAAAACTTACTGCAGTATCATGATTGATTGCCACATCTTTATTTTCTAAATCACAAAAAACTTGCATGGTCAATTCCTGTTCTTCATACAATTTCAATTTCCTGCATAACAATGTTTTGTCATTATTATTTTATACACTGTAATTATGTCAGTGCCATCTTTATCCTAAGGGTACATAGGGCCCCCGTCTGATAGAAGCCCCGAATAATACAATTTACGTCTACGTTTTTTTTGTTTTCTTAAACAGCCCCCAAACTATGTGTACCCAAGGGCCTTTCATAGCCTAAGACAGTCCTGAATGTAGTCACTATATTATAAGTTTAACTGGAGCAGTGAATTAAGCTCCAAAAAACTAATGAAAATCGTGCAAAAGAACACAATGAACATATTATTCTAGCACTTAATTCCCTTGTACAAACAAAACCACTTAAACTATGTTAATTAAACCTATATAGATTTTAATGTTTTATTTACAAAAATGTATTATCAATTGTAAATTATAGCTTAAATGCAGATCTGAAAAATGAATTGTTTTAATCAATATCTGTAGACAATCCATTTCAGACATTTTTTTACTCCATCTAATATCTTTTGAATAAAAATATAAACTACGACTTAATTTGGGAAAGTTTACTATTTTTTTGCAAAGATAATTTATAATATATAGATTGGTTAAAATGTAATTTCTTGTGCAGCAATCACGCTTAAACACTGGAAATTCAATAATCAAGAAAATTTTAAGAAGGCATATTTTATATAGGTAATTCTAAAACGATTGGCTAATAAAAACACTTGTCTTACTGTTCGATCCACAAAGGATTTTCAGTGGTGCTTAAATCATCAATAACAGCCTTCTTAATTAATATATCGTTTTTGATCGAGTTGCTGTCCAACTCTGAAACCATCCTTAAAACAAACATATCAATAGAAAATTAATAACTTATGGAAAATACGAAAAGGTTAATAACAATTATTAAATTAAACAAATAACTAAGGCTATTCGGTTGTAAAATCTGGTTCATTATTTGTTGTTGGTTTTTCACCAGCATCGTAACAACTCGATTTTGACCAGTCGTTTGAACCGATTATTTGACCAAAATTAATCTAATATGCCCAGATTAAAACGGGCAAACCGACAGCTTTTGTCCTTAACCAAATAGACCGATTTTTAATCGAAATTAATTTACAGTTATCTCGGTCAAAATAAATTGGTAAACAAACAGCCATACAAACAATATTCAAATAATTCCACTTACCAATGTCGGAAACAACAGCAAATTATCAGTACTCCAATACAGCCAACAGTTAATACAACTAACAATGCAACTAATGCAGCTAAAGTAGGTTCAAATGATTCGGACTGAGTAACAACAAATGTAGGCTAAATGAAATAAAAATAGTTATGTGAGAATGAATAACTTACTAATTCTTTTTTAATATATTTTATGATAACAGTTTACAAACCACAACATTTTCTATAGCAAAATTTTGATAGTAGTCTTTTAAATAATCATATTTATTATCAATTATAGTTAATACTTCTCCACTGGACATAATAGTATTTGTCATAGGGTTTATCATATGTATGTATACATCACTCCAATCAGACTGAATATAGCCATATTGATTGACATGGTAACGGACATCATCCAGAACAACTATCATACTAGTTACGTTTGCCAAACTGGATAATATCTGCTCCCGGCCTTCAGTAACCGTCTGGGGTGCTCTTGATACAATCACTTTTACTAATTGTTCCGTTTCATACACCCAAACCTTGTTACAAATAAATGTATTTTAACAACTTCAAAATATAATAATAAATAACATTAACAAGCTTTTATTGAATAAGATTATAAAAATCATATTTGATCAATGCGTAAATATATACTAATATTTATACTTATTAGATAATTCCTACGTTTCTGGTTACATTTTATAAAAATGTACAACAAATACAATTTAAAAAATCTATCTCATACTGCATCAAAGCTAAAATGTATTTTATTGTTGTTAATAATTAAAGAACTGATAAATATGCATTTACTTTGATTCTACAAAATGTTTTATAATTTTGATTTGAATACAAGTTGTTATTATGGAATAGTTTTCATTGATGTGCGAAAAAAAACAATGTTTTTATGTTTCAGGATTTTGCAGTAAATTAAGTTGTTTTTTTTACTTGAATAAAAAACTAAAACTTACTGTAGCTGTTGTAGAGGTTATTCTGTAAGGTGAAGCAATTTCTTTGGCCATAACTTGCAATTCAAATCTACCTTGATTATACTCAGCTAAAAATATTGCTGTAGAAATACGACCTGACAAATCAATAACAAATGGTTCTTTTATTATAGATGACCAAGTCATATTGTCAACTCCGGGTCTAAATAGCTGTGCATTCTCAATACTATATGTTACAGTGCCATTTTCTTTAGAGTCTGGATCTGTTGCTAATATTTGAAGTATTACATCTCCAACCTTAGCCATAGTATTAACCCCTAATAATTAACACAATGCATTATTCATAGTAAGGTTGTAGTCATTATATAATAATAATAATAATACACCTATACATTATAAACGTTGTTCCTTTTTTACCTGCATAATAATGTTTTGACTGAAAAACTGGAGCATTATCATTTTCATCTGTAATTACAATCAATACTCTCGCTAAACTGTAATCATCCATTTCTAAGTCCTATAAAAAATGCACAATCATTTTTATTATTATATTAAACAGAAAATTTATTCAGCATTAAGGGAAAAAAAAAAAAATGATTAAGAGATGATTGAATACATGCAACAAAAAATAAGCTGCGATAGTTAATATGTGTATGAGCGTGATCAAATATATATTTTTTATAATGACATAATTATTATAACTATTTAATTTATATTTTAACTTTTAAATGAAAACCTTTGTATGTTGATACTCTATATCATTAGATGCTTTAATAACTATTTCGTAAGAACTTTGTTGTTCTCTGTCCAATGTGTCATTAGCATAAATAGTTCCATCAAGACGATCAACAAAAAATGGGCTGGGTTTAGTGGATAGCAAATAATAAAATATACGTGCATTATTTCCTTGATCTAAATCAGTAGCTTTTACTTGGCCTAAAAATAAACAATTTCATAATAAATATCTAAAAAACATTCTTACTCTCAATTTTTTTTTAATTAAAATTTTTATATTTTGAAACATATTTTACTTAAATAATGCAAAAAATTATTATAAATTATAAGTATTAGTAAGTACCAATTCTATATTGAAGTCTATTATTTTCTCTAACACTGAATGTATACAACGGTTTATGATCATTGTGTATAGGAAACTTTGGTTTATTATCATTAACATCAATTAAATTGATAGTAAGTAGTTTCAACGATTCTTGCCATGTTGGTGAACCTTGATCTCGTGCAACTAATACTAACTAAAATTTAAGAAAATAATAAGTAAAGGTACATAAACTAAGATTATATTTTGATAATTCTTGTGTAATCTACTCAATATTTAATCAATACTACTATTGAATACTATTAATTTTAAATGTGTTTATATATTTTCTACACATAATATTCAATGTGTGTACAATTCTTACCAAACTAATTAGATATACAGTTAATACTTAAAGCTTTAATTTTTATTTCATAATTTATTAACTTAAATTTTGGCTAGTTGAAAGCAACAGTGTAGAAATCAACAAATTCAAATATACAGGCGAGAGAAAAAAAGTATATTTTATAATATTATTTTTCGATATTTTAGTACAATTAAGTGATTTCATACTTTTATGTCTCCATTATTTAAATTTATTTTAATAAGTTTTAATTTTAGCAAAACAAAATAGTTATGTTTAAATAAAATATTACTGGTGACATAACTAAATTGTAATAACTTAATTTTTTTAAATATCTGTCTAATGAGCTATTTAAATATACGACTAAGCTTTCCTTAACATCATTACTGATTTTAAAAAGCAAAAAAATATTAAAAACTGGTTAACATCTAGACAAAAATCTCATTTTAATTAGCTATGAAAATAATATAGCTTGAATTTCGAGAGTAATAAATTTCATTTAGAAAGTTGATCTTAAAATAGTTATACTTAACAATTTGAGCTGATGAATTTTTAAATTATTTTAATCATCCAATTTATTGAGCAGATCACTTTAAGTTTAACCGCTCTTAGACTATAAGTTCATAAACCATATTAATATGAATAATTCCTACTTCGTAAGATGACTTTGTTTCATAATCGAGTAAAATTTGAGTAGTAATTTGCCCCGTTTCTGGATTAATAGTAAATGTATCAGTTTGTAGAGTGTTATTATTTGCAACTTTGAAGAAATATGTTACTCGGCCATTTTCACCAAAATCTTTATCTTCAGCACATACAGTTAAGACTAAAGTCCCAACATTAACATTCTAAAAACAAATATACTTGTTTATGCTTTTAAAAAAACAATGATTATAATTTTAAAATGTAACTGGATACTTTATTTCAAATTAATACACTATAATAGTTGCATTAGTTATAACACTTACCTCAGGAATAGATAGTGTAGAGTTAGATGGATGAACAAAGACTGGTTGATTTTGATTAATGTCCAAAACAGTAATATTAATATTTGCGTGATCTTTAAATATACCATCAAAAACATCAACTTCAATCCAATGCAACCCTTTTCTTCCGTTCAAAGACATTGCTGGATATAAAAATCCTGTATCTTTATCAAGATTAAATAAATCTGTGCAAAAGATAATATTATATTTTATTAATAATATAATAATAATGTGATGTATAATAACAAAAATGTGATAGTTTTAATATTAATAAGTAACCTTTATTTCCTGACACAATTGTGTAAGCCAACTTAGAATTAAGATCCTTGTCTATAGCTTTCATCTGCATAAGTGGGGTTGTTGGTGTTGAAACAATAATAGACAATGAATATTCTTTGGGGTCAAATTGAGGCGGGTTATCATTAACATCTTTAAGTTTTATAGATAGCTGAAACATTAAATTAAAGGAAAGAAAAATCAATAGAAAAAAAATTGTTTATTGATTTTAATAATTATAAAATTAAATACCAAAACTACAGCAGTCTTGGCTGAATCAGGTGGAGCTTGATCTTTAGCTTGAATTGTCAATATTAATTCTGATATCTCTTCACGATCAAGGAAACTAGAATTAATAACTTTCACCACACCTGTATCTTGATCAATAGAAAATCCATTGTTATTTCCAATAATTGAATAGTGGATCAAACCAAATATTAATTTGTCAGTATCAGTTGCTAATACTTTTGTAACAAATGTTCCAACTGGTGAGTTTTCTTCTATCTCTGCTTTGTACTCGGTCTAGTTATATATACAAATTATAAAGCAACTTTTATACAGTTTAATTTGGATAAAAATGAATGAATATGTCTAACCATAGTAAAATCAGTATATAATTTCATAAATCAACTAATGTGCAGTATATGCCCAACTATTTATTATGAGGCGCATATATAAAAAAATAATGAATAAATCCATTACTTCAAGAAAAAGTCACTTATAATTTTTTTAACACTATTATTATTATTTGAAAGCCAATTCCAAAAAAATTTATGTTTGAGTCACTTTGGTTTTGAAATATTATATGATTTTAAAATGTTTAATGTAATAAAACAAAATTTATTTTTTTGTGGGCTAAGCTTTTTTGCCACATAAAATTAATGTAGTTCTAAATTTAAAAAAAAATTTCTCTCCACCCCTAATAATTGATTATTGCACTACACGTCATCAAATTTTAAGAAACATTTCAATTGGTTAGTTAAGCTGGGAAAAAAATACAAAATCGTTTACCAAAAAAAATGTTTGTTTTGAAACATAGGTGACAACAAAGTCTTACCAAACCTGCTTGCCCAAAAAGTTTACATAAACATATTACAGGTTGTTTTACTAAGACTTACACAAGATTTCAACATTATTAGGTACCTCAGCTCAATGCCACAATGAAAAATATAGCGAGTCATATGGTGGGAATCATGCATTATTTGCATGATTACTTGATTTCAGATTTCAGAATGCCATAGGAAGTGAATGTAATAAAATTCCTTATTTCATCGAGAGAATTCATTGTTACTCCCTATCACCTGTGGAGATGACATGGCCTATCCCAGTTTCTAAATGTTGGAGTTAAATTCAATGTGTTTTGAAATTTTAGAAGTCTGTAGTCTAAATTGACTTTTAAAGGTTCAGCGCCACAGCAAACACCGGTGTCCACTAGCAACCTGATAAGTAATATAAAACTAAACCTAACCTGATAGTAATATAAAATAATGAGTATAACATTAAATAAATATCTTAGAACAGAGAAGTTTTAGTGAAATATCCTTGGTGCTTAACCTTTTAAGTTACAACATTTTAAATTGGCCTAAATGACACAGTCAAACGTAATATTGGCAAAATATACATAGATATATTGCTAACAAGATCACATTTTATTAATTCTAAATAACCTGCACAGAAACCAAAATTTGTTACGCTCATATGTGACTACTCAGCCAGAAAAAATGCGTTGTGGTTTCTACAAAAGTGCATTCTATTGTGGTAGGTAGTATAATATGAAAAGCATTTTAGCTTTAAAGCACAGTAAAAAAAAGTAAAGATTTCTTAATAACATGATATTTTCAACCACTGGAATGATTTCTTAATAGTTAATATACATGGTCTATAGATCAAAAATTGTACACCAACAGAACTATATTAAGACAAACGTCATTGTTTGTTTATTAATGAACAAAAAGGATGTCAAATTTATAAATAAAATCCCCCTGTTCATTAAAATCATTTTTAATTACAGAATTAAATATAGAGGTATTTAATTCCTTATTAACATAATTATGTTTGTACTAAATATTTATTATGACAATTTCTTTATATTGTAATGTATATTATCATATTGGTTTTAGCATACCTGATTAAATACAGGATTATTATCATTCACATTGATTACATTAATAATGATGGTTGCCGAAGAAGATAGCTGAGGATGTCCCGTATCATAAGCAAATAATGTAACACTAATAGTTTCAATGTTTTCAAAATCAAGTCTTTCCTTTGTATATAAGGAACCTAAAGATATCAAATTGGTAATCTTAATATATTATGAATACACTTCCTATAAAAATAAAATTCTATATTTATTCTATTACCTGTAGATTTATTTACAGCAACATAATGGTTATAAGGCATAATTGCATAATGATCAATTCCTGAATCATCATAAGCAATAAAACTACCAATAACAGAACCAATTGGTTGTTCTTCAAAAACGGATAATGTTAATACTGGATTTTCTTCAGTCCAAGGTTCATTAAATTTAGGAGCGATGTCATTAATATCCATTATAGTTACCATTAAAGTACCTAAGCAATTTGTTTTTTAAATAACAAACTTAATATTCAACTTGCTGAAATTGTTATCTTTAGTGGTAGTAAAATGTAGGATCTAACCTGTTGATTGTTGTACATCAGGAGCAGATGTATCAGTAACAATAACAGATAGACTAACAATAGCTGCTATATTTCTATCAATTATTTTAGATACAATTATGTCACCATTTGAAGGTCTAACTTTAAACCATTCTTTAATGACACCATTGTCATTTAATTGATTGCCATCACTAGTAATCCCAGTTGTGAGCAATGAATTCAATGAAAAACTCAGAGCGTTTTCGTCACTAGTATCAGGATCATGAGCAATCAAACGATAAATAACAGTACCTAACGGAACATCTTCTGAAACCTAAACAGTTTTAAAAAAATTAGCCTGAGAGGTATTATAAATGAGTTTAACACTAGTATAAACAACATGCTTATTTAAAGATAAGAGCATTAGAAATGAAAAATATTATATAGTATATACGTATCATACCTCTGCACGCTGTATGGATGGATTAAATTTGGGACTCTTATTGTTGATATTAATTATATTGATATTTACAGCTGTACTTCCAGTGAGAGCAGGTGTACCCTTATCAATCGCAAGTGTTTTAATAACGTAACTTGAATGTTGATCATAGTCCAGTTTTGAGGAAACATAAATAGTTCCAGTTAGCTGGTCAATAGAAAAATGATTAAATGAACCTTCTTGTATATGATAGGTAAGATTTGCATTTAAATTTAAATCATCATCTTTTGCTTCAACTTTAATGACAACGTGGCCAACTGGTTCATTTTCATAAATAGAAACATTGTATGCATCAGACAAAAACTGTGGACTATTATTGTTAACATCTAAAACTACAATATTTACAGTTGCTTCATCACTATAAATACCATCACTAGCCTAAAATAATAATGCAGAATTTTACAACTATAATTTTAACAATCTTAATAATAAGTGTAATAAGTAAGTCTTACAACTATTGATAGTGTAATATTATCATTTTTAGATCTTTGAAGTCCGTTTTGGGATAAAATAAATATTTCTCCACTATTTTTATCAATTTTAAATAATTTATTTCCATATCCAGAAATAGAATATGAAATTACAGAAGACTTATCAGCATCAGTAGCCTAAACATATACATACAATAAAACAAATATTAGTAAAAATATTTAGATTCTTAAGTACTTAATTTTTAAAGTTGATGTTAAATAAATAATAATATGTGACATAACTTATAAGTATACTTATTCTCTCACAAAACAAGGTACAGTTATAGTAATTTTTGTTTTTTCAGTTTTTGTAAAGTGAATAGAAATGTTATGTAAATTAGCTCAGTGATTTTATTTGTTAGATATTGAAAATAAAAAAAAACTATTTTAACTCTTCAAGTATCATGCATATTTAACAGATAAATAAAGTAAATATGTTAAGGAGGCTTCAATGAATTGAAATATTATTTTGGCAATTTTCAGTTTTATTCATATCATTAGATGTTTGCTAACATTTCGAACACATTGCAGAGTTCATTTTGGGAGTAATAGCCACTGTTCAACAAATATCTATTAATACTGTATGGTCACGATTAGTGAAACAGTGACTATCCCTTTAAAGATGGACTATGCAATGAATTTCTTACAACAGAAAACAACTAAAGACATGGGCAAATCTAAATATTGCCAAATTAATTTATTATGACCAAATGTATTCTTAACCTTCAAGCGCTCGTGTATTTGAAAGTTATATCGCTCTCAAACTTGCATGGGAAAACTGCAGTTTTTTTTACATTTTCTTTTGTTTTTTTGTAAGTAGATAATACTTGACAGATCCGCCAGGTTCCGTCAAAATCTGTTTAGATGTAGCACATTTTTTTTTTCAAAATAAACATTATAAATGCTGCCTACGCGAGCGCTTAAAGGCTTAATATAGTAAAGAATTTATAAATACAATATCAGTCAATTAAAAGGCGATTAGGAATAATAGCTAAAAAAATCAGTTTAACTTTAGTTAAAGTAAACTTTAGTGTAGTATTCATTTATTTATCACAATCATTATAAATTACTAACCTGAACTATGAGCGGCGGTTCAAAATTTGTTACACCTTCATCTATTAGACTTGTATAAACATGTTGTACAAACACAGGTGTGTTATCGTTGTCATCCGTTAATATTATCATAATTGGCACAGAACTTGATTGCCCATTACCATTATCATCAGTAGCTATGTATGTTAGATAAAAATTTGACTGAGTTTCATAATCAAGGCATGGTGATTTTCCAACATTAGAACACAGCGCCACAGAAATAGTGCCTGTTGTTTTGTCAACATAAAACCTAAAATGAAATATAAGACTTAAAACCAAGCATAATATATGTACCAAATTAGGCCCATTTACATTTATTTTGCACCATATGATAACTATATAAAACAACAACATAAACTATAAAAGTTAAGGAACATTTAGATCCTACAAACTTAATATAAAATGAAGCATAATATTGTTAATAAAATAAAAAAGTTCCTACAATAAAGTAAATAAAAAAAATCAAAGCTTTAATTCAAAAATATATGAATATTTCTTGAATTTACTCATTTTTTTTATTACACATTTAATAAATGTAAATACTACATAAAGTTTACTACAAAAAAAATCTAAAGCAGAAACCATGGAAAATTTCTATGATATTCAAACATTCACACAATACTTAAAGTAACATAGCAGAATATTTTTAAAATTTAGTAAACTTACTTTTCAGCTAAAGGTCCAGTTAGACTATAAATAATATTTGGGTTACTATCTCTGTCCGATGCTTTTACTACACCAATCACCGTTCCGGGTGTAGCAATTTCATTGACTGTAAATGTATATGCTTTATTTTCAAACTCAGGCCGGTTATCATTAATATCAGTTACTTGGATGTTTAGCGTAGCTGTTGATGTTAAATGATATTTTTCACTTTGTTCACTAGCTATGACCTTTTTTTTTTTTAGAAAAATTTTAATAAAAGTTAAACTAAGCATGAAGTATATTAGGGTTTAGAGAAATCAATTTATTTGTCATTAATGTATTACCAAAAGAATAAATTTCCTTTGATTAGGATCTTCATAATCTAAATTTGCATCTTTAGCAAGCTTAATTCCAACATCTGTTGAACCAATGGCTTTTATTGGATCTATTACAAATAATTTTGATTCATCAAGTAATCTCAATGAAAATTCTGAGTTTGAACCCTATTTAAAAAATATATATACATTTGTTTTATAATAATAAAATTAAAATGTACACAAATAGTATACTTTTAAATTTAATGTTCAGTAATATTTTTATTTTTCTAATTAAATAATAAAATGAACTGTTTCATATTATTATATAAGTTTTACATATTTATGAATATTACCCAATATTATTATTTTTATTAAATAGTTATAAAAAAAATTCAAAACTTCTGTACACTTTAAATAAAGTCTTACACAACTCAATGCTAATGTCTATTATCATTTCATATATAATCTATGCTATTATAATTACTCCAGTACCATTATGACAAAAAAATTATGTGTGAATTTTATTTTAAATTATAGTGAGCATAATTGTCTATAATATTTTTAGACGAGAATAATAATATATACTAAAATCAATTTCTATGAACAGTATTATTAACCTAAAAATTATTTGTTTTAGGTTTAACAAGTTATCACTATCTAAATCTAACCGCCAAAAAAAAAATGTCTCAACTACTACCTGAAATTTATAAATGAAAAAACATTATTTAAAATATAAATTCATAATTAGTTCAAACCTCTAGCATATCTCACACGGCCATACCAAATGAAAATACACAATATATTGGGAAAATGCTAGCAAACAATTTTTTTTTAATACAAATATTATTTTAATAATATTATATCATTGAGTTTTGGGATTTAAATGTTACAACTTACAATATCTGAATCCACAACAGTCATATTAAGATTCGGCAACGGGGTACCAGGAGCTATATTTTCTGGTACAGTAACAAAATAATCCAACTTATTAAATAGTGGTGGTTCATCATTTACATCTTGAACAGTAATGGTTATAATTGCAATAGACGAACTTATTTCATCATCAACTGCTAAGCCATTAACTATTTCTCTAGCCTGAAAAAAGTTTTATATTAATTTTCTATAAAATCTAAATATTCCAGTTTGCCAAAAAAAAAAAAAAAATACATTTCAACACGAATTACAAATATTACTTCAAACCAACACATTTAAAATGGCGATGAGAATGTCAAATTTTTCACCATGAAGAATAATAATTAAAACCATTAAACATATTAGTTTTTATGAAAATTACTAGTGCCACATTTTTTATTATTACAAAAAAAAATATCTTTGTTTTTGTTAAAAATGTTGATTTAATAAACAAAAAATGTTATACTTACTCGTACAGTTAATGTAATAATACCATTGTTATTCATTAATGATTCTCGATCAATTAATTTAGCAGTAAAAAGCTCACCGGATAAACCATCCAATGAAAAATAATCCATGGGGTCTAAAAATAAAATAACAAATATAATGCTCACATACTTAGGGATACGTACGTATATTATGTTTTAGATATACATTTTTAATTTAGTGCGCCCTCCCTCCCCCCTAAAAATCCAGAGCTTGTAATTGGGTGGACAACGTATGTTTTGCAGTACTGGGGGAACCAAATCCTATTACCTTCTAGTACCAAGTTTGATAACTTATACCACAGTGCCACAAATGTTGACAAATTAAGTAAATAAAATAGATCAGTATATTTTATAATAATCTAAATACAAACTAAAAAGAATGTCCTAAAAACAAAATGCATTACTTTGGATCAAGTCATATACTATATTTCTAGGTTCTCCTCTATCTCCATCTTTTGCATTAACAGTTAATACACGAGTTCCAACCGGCACATCTTCACTAATAACACTTGTTAATGATCCATGGAAACTAGGAGGCGTATTTTGTACATCTTTGACATGTATATCCAAACTTATTCTACTCTCATGAACACCGTCCTACAAAAATGTATTATAAAATTTTAAATATTTTACCGAAGCTAATAGTAATTATAAATGTTATCTTTAGTCAATTTATAAAATAGATGAAACATTCATATTCGTATTTATATAAATTTAAAGATTAGGATAATTAACTGATAGTAATTGATAAATAAATCTACTTACAGTAGCAACAAGAGTCAATTTATAAAACTGATTTTCCGAATATTTTATTTGTCCATTAACAACCAAAACGCCTAAATAGTAACTTTCACTTGTATTTTTTGGTATTATTTTAAATTTTAAGCATCCTTCATCAGTCTAAAATGAAAATACATAAAAATAATTATGATTTTTCTTAATAAAAATTAAAGAAAGTAGTTTATACCAATGAACTAGATTCACATCTGACTTCTAGAGGTTCACCGACTTTGTCCAAGTCTTCCACATGGATCCACTTGAACACAGTTACACCAATTTCAGATTCTTCACTAACTGAGCCTTCATAAGGAGTATTTTTGAATGTTGGAACATTATCATTTTCGTCTAATATTATCACGGATATTGGAAGTCGAACAATATCACCTGATTTTTTTTGTTTTAGTGTGACACTTAACTTTAATGTATCACTTTCCTAAAAAACAAGTACATGCTATTTACAGTAAATATACCTATAATATAAACTATTAAAATTTAATTGTATTTAAATTTTTATAAGCTTTTATTATTATTAATTGATTCATAGTTCATTTTTACACATGATACAAGCTTAAGTCAATTGCAAGAATATTAAATACTATAATGAAGGTAATATAAAAACAATAATTTTTTTATTTTATTATCATCATCATTAATATACGTAAATTACACTTAAATTTAAATAATATTTTGTGTTAAATACTATTTATACTACCTCATGATCTAATGGCTTTGCTAAAGTAACGATTCCTGTTATTGAATCTACAACTAAACTATCAGTTCCTTCTATTCCATATATCAAATCATCATCTCCACCTGAAGAGTCAATACCTTCAAGTTTGTAAATAGATTGGCCAACTGGAATACTCTCTGAGAGAGCTTCATTATTCATATACTTATTAAAAACTGGTAATTCTGAAAAATAATAGTTTACATGTTTTTAAAAAAATATTAACAGCCGTATCACAAACTAAACATGCTTGGATGTATTCTAGAAAACTTCCAATTTTTGTTATTAAATATTTAAAACATATTTACCGTCAGCTATTGTTGAATGAATTAAAATTGAAAGCCATAGCCAAGTAAAAATCATTTTTGCAATTAAAAAAACATTATTATTATCATATATTTTATGATAATATTATATGTATTATACTATACAATATACATCTTAAAATGCTTTTTATAATAATTTTATAGTGATCAATACACAAAAATGATACAATTGTTTGGAAAGGTCAGTGAACGATTAATAAAATAATAAAAATTTAACACAAATCAGAATGATAATAAACTGACTGAAATGTGAAGACTCAATAGTCACAGTTATACATATATGATATAACTACGTAGTGCTAAGGCCGCGACTAGACTAGCTAGTTCTAGTAGCTAGAAGTCGGTGTCCGGTGGTCACTAAAAGTATTACAAATATTATTTACTGGTGGGAAACATATATTTTTTATCATCTTAGTGTTACCGCAGCATCTTAAGTAGATATCAAATATCATAGGTGGTTGAACTACAGAATCCACATGGAATAAATGGATACATATTATGTCTATAGCCATCAGACAGTTTAAATGTTAAATTATGTTTAAATTTCCTTCCTTTATCATTTTTTAAAATATAATATTAATAATAAAGAATTCGACCTTTTTTAAAAATAATTAATCCTAAAAAGTTCGAAGTTTGAAACTTATTTTATGGTGAACGAAAATCAATAATTTGATAGTAATAGTTATGTTGGTGAAATGTAATAATTTTCAATGTTGGTCACACTGTTACCGTAATCTTCCCTTCGCCCTCGGGCATTACCAAAATGCACTTCCCACTTAGCATTTGTATAAACTATATAGTATATACAACTAACAACACGGTCAACTTATAAGCTGTAGAAGTGTAACATAACTGTACAGACTACAGTGTACACTGTGCAGTGTACTGCTAAGAGCGACTGTTGTTTACGTTTTACTCTATCGTTTTATTTCTACGACTTGTACGATTACTGCGTAAATACTTCTAGTTTTCTTTAGAATTTAATTGACTTTTTGAGTTTAACAGTGCATTGCTCATTATAATATACCTAGGTTTACTTATAAAATAAACATTTTCATTAATTATTCTTAAGACGAAATATATATTTCACTTCTAATTTGACTATTTTTCATCGTATTGATCTGCAAATATGGTAAAACATTCAAGTCTATTATTTTATTAATTTTTTTCACGTAGTACATTATGATGTTTTAATGTACCTAACTATTTTTTGCTTCTTCATTATCTTTCTCTTATAATGTATACCTATGCGTGTAAACTGTATAATATTATATATATGTTAATAATTTTGCTTAGAGAGTACTTAACTAATATCTTCAACCCTTTTATTGTTATGGTACAACGCCTATAAACAATATAATGGTTAATGAAATATTGAAATATTAAAAATACCTTTCACCACATTAAATAAATGTATAGTAGTAGTAGTGTATTTTGGTAGAAAAGCTATGCTATTGATAGATCAGAATTGCCACTTCTAGGGTTGTCTGGCCCACAGTGTTTTTTTCCAGATTGTTAGTCATACATGTACCATGTTTATAAATATGTGTGTGTGTATTTAAAAGAGGTACCTATTTTAGTGTTCTATTCGCCACATAATTAAAATAAAATTAAGTTATTATAATCTAAATTTTATTGGTTTTTGTATTATTGGAACCTAAATAAAAAGTAAAAAGAATATTTCGCTGATATGATAATTCAAAATTAAAGTAAAAAGATATTAATAATTCCCAAAAATATATCAAAATTAATTTTTACATAATTTTTATTATTTTAATTCAGAGTAAAACTGAGTATGTAATTAAAATTTGTCTAAGTTTTTGAACTAAATTACTATAAACGAAAATTACATTGAAATCTTGGATGAGGGGAATTAAAATCTACAGTGATTTTGCTGTATTTTGGCCAGATTAAAACTATTAGTTAGACTTCCTCAATTTTTACTCGGAATAAGAATAGTAGGAATTATTATAAAAAAAGAGTTTTGTTATTTGTTAATTTACCTTATTTGTGTTTAAATTATACCATCAAAATTTGTTTACATTTTAAGTAGGTCCTGATAAAAATAATACCCAACAAAATTTTTGTTAAAATCATTGATTTTAATTATTTAGCTGTTTAGCTAACAGAGCATTATGATGGTGTTTTGACGGTTTTGCAGCATATGTTCCCATAACTCAATTTAGTTCACATTTTGCTTACTAACGTTTTTAAAGATACTAGAAAAATTGAGGGGGTGCCAAATACAAACAAATTAAAATATAGACCTCTTTAAAGTATACATATATATATATATATAATCCCTCAAACTCATTATATAGTCTTGGCGAGTCTTTGTTATTTCTTACCCACTCTTTTTATATCTCTTCTAATCAATCGCTAGGTTTCTTTGAGCATGCATACTCACGGGTCAAAGGTAACTATGATATAATAGTATTTTTGATTTTCGATAGTTATACTTGAGTTTAATAATACTTAATTATCATCTATATCTACTTTTATTCTGTTCATTTACTTCTGCGAGCATGTAATTTTTACTATTGACAATGGTGTCTAAATATCTAATATGACATCTGCTTTTCCAAATCTAATTAAATGTGTTTTTTGAAAAAGGCAACTCAATTTTTTGCCATATTCAGATTTTTTTTGGAAGTATCTTTGAATTTTAATTCATCTTTTGATGTTAAAACGTGACATATCCATATAGTCATATTGTAAAAAACACTTAGTATTGTTAGCTACACTTTAAAAATGTGTGATTTTAAAGGGCCCAGTAGCTCAGTTTGGGAGTACTTGACCGATCTAAATCTCAATGGGTGAAGATCTGCGTCTTTAACAGTATTAGTTATATTTTGTTTATAATTTATCTTTCAATACATTTTTTTTTTTCAGAGGGAACCAGAGCACCTTCGTAAACTATTTGTTGGAGGTTTAGACTACAAAACAACTGACGAAAATCTCAAAAAGTATTTTGAGCAATGGGGTGAAATATCAGATGTAGTTGTAATGAAAGATCAACAAACAAAGAGATCTAGAGGATTTGGCTTCATAACATATGCTGCAGCCCATATGGTTGATGATGCCCAGGCTGCTCGTCCTCATAAAATTGATGGACGGACAGTAGAACCTAAAAGAGCAGTACCCAAATCTGTAAGAGTTATAAAAATATTACTTAAACTTCTTATCTATGTACATTATATTCCTAGGACATTGGAAAACCAGAAGCTGGTGCCACTGTAAAAAAATTATTCGTTGGTCTATTGAATGATAGTATAACTGAAGATGATTTAAAAGAATATTTTGCTCCTTATGGTAATGTTACCTCGGCTGCTTTAGTAGTACATAAGGAAACTGGCAAAAAACGTGGATTTGGTTTTGTGGAATTTGACGATTATGACCCAGTAGACAAAATATGTTGTATGTTAGCTATTTTATATACAAATTACAAAACTTAAAGTTTATACAATATGTATTTTAGATAAAAAAACCTAATATTTATATATTTTGTTATTTATTAAGTAACCATTAAACAAAGCTAAATATTTTTTTACTTTCATTCTAATTATAATATTTTTAGTTCTAAAAAAAATATTGCATTAATGTAAATATGTTTATTAATTAATTATTTATAATTATTATGAAATCACAGTGAAAGGGTTACATATAATCAAAGGAAAGAAGATTGATGTTAAAAAAGCATTAAGCAAAGAAGAAATGGCAAGAGTAAATGCTAGAAATAACAATTCTTCAGATAACTGGGGTGGAGATGGTCGAAATGCTTGGGAAGTAACAATGAGACATTTTGGAATGAATAACCGTAGTGGTAATAGTGGTGGATGGAGAGGTACAAAAATATATTTATTTTTATTTAATATTTATACTCTGTTCTAGAATAGAACATAATACGATTATGTTTATATATAATATGTAAACATTAGATGCTTATTGTTGAGTTATCCTAGCATAATGGGAATGATATTAACTTTTAAAGGATACAATTTGTAAATAGGTGGTAATGATCCTGATCCATGGGAATCGGGTCCTGTTTCACGAGGTGGAAATTGGGGTGGTCCATCATCTAGTTCTTGGGATGATAATTTTGGAAGTGGCTATCAACAGAACTTTGGCGGTGGACCTATGCGAGGAAGTGGGCCAATGCGCAGTAGTAGTGCTTCAAGACCGGGTCCTTATAACAGTAATATTTTATGCATACATATATTTAATATATATATCTACGATCAATTAAATGTTTGTAGGTAGTTATGACATTGACTTTAATGACTTAGGTGGATTCAGTGGCAACAATTTTGCTAGTGGAGGCGGAAACAACATTGGAAGCGCACGTCCAAGAATGGTTCCTCGAGGTAGAGGTGGTCCTATAAGAGGATTATCTACAAGAGGAAATCCAGTTAGAAGTGGTAGAGGTGCCATTGGACGGGGAAGAGGAAGGTACTAAATATTAAAGGTAATCATTATATTACTTTAAAATTTATTGTTATATTTTTAAAGTGCTTATAAAATTCATGACTACAAAATCTAAATATATTAAGTTACGACTTAGGGCCATTATTACTTTGGTAATTTTTTTTATAAAAATATTATTTTAATTTATACCATAATTTAACCTATTTTACGACTTTATCCTAACTTTGTATTACTGGCTCTAAGTCAAGACTATAGTTCAAAATGTTATGTTCATTATATAGGTTTAAAGTTGTTTTATTTGTGCACAGGTTAAAAAGTATGAGCTGCCCCAAAATGTAACCTAAGGGGTTTGGGTCAGGAGAATTTCAGCCCGCAGAAATTTATACTTATGCAGGTCATCAGGATTCTTTTTTAAAAACTTCTACTAATTCCTCAATTTATAGTAACAAAAGAGGAGGAAGGATTTTTTTAGGATAAAGATTGTGTGTATTTTTTTTTCTAACTTCTTAATTAAACAATAAGTACAAGTAATGATTATTCTTATAACGAAAAGAGTCAGTATTATTCAAAAGTGTTAAGATTTCCAAATTAGATTTATAATATTTAGTAAGTTAGGTTTAAATAAATGATAATCGTGGATCAAAAAAAAAAAAAAAACTAGTATAATGACAAGTATTAATATTTTTTTTATATAATCAAACTGAACAATTCCGAATGAAAGAGGTATTTGATAATTTTATGGTTTATAGAATTTAAAATTATTATAATACTTTTTTCATAATAAATTACTTAAACATTACTGTCACAAATTACCCTCTGTAATCCAGTTATCAAGTCAAAACATTTTTCTTAAGTAATTTTTAAATGGATTATAATTCATATCAGATTTTATATAATAGTGTATGATTATTTAGACGTAGGAGTATAGGAAAACCTTAGATTATTGAGTTTTATTCAAATATTCATATTGTAGTTCAACTATCCTCTAACAATTATTTATATGTTTGTGATCATCTTTCTTAATACTATATAGTTTAGAAAATAGATGTGTGTAACTATTCGGTTTAGTATTTTTAAACAAATCTGAAAATAATAATATTGATTTTATATTGTTCTATACATATTACATTTGTATATTTAATATTTATGTATACTCTAGCAGATCAGATTAGAATATATGAAAATTTTTATTCCGGTTTTATTTAATGAACAAGTCAAAATAAGTTTCTTCAAAAAAAAACATTCACTTTTTTATTATGTTTAATTATCAACTATGGCTGATATAATTTTATAGTACTTGTATTCAGATAAATGTATTATTATTGATCTCAATGTATACAAAAACACTATTGGTTCAAATATAAATGCAGTTATTTGAACCTTAATAATAAAAATGCCTACAAATGGATTATTTCAGTTATTTTCTTTTATAAAAGTCTACTAGAATAATTTGTATCTTTAATGTCATTTAAAAAGAGAAGCTCATTAATTTATTGTCATTTTCAAAAAGCAGTAGAGTGGAGGCTCATCTCATATCCCAATAATTTTATTTTAAATAGTTATCATTACTAAACAACTTAAATTCAGTAAAGTATATAAGTTTGATATTTTAATTCTGAGGGATACCTAAGGTTTATTAACAATAGTTAAAAATTGTTTGACTCGTATGTTTATAAATGTGTAGGAAACTGGTTCAATAGTTAATATATAGCATGTTTCCCTGTTTTATTTGTAATTTATTGTTAGCATGCATTAAAAATCAAGGATTTTAATAAAATTACAAGCAAATATCACATTTTGCTCTCCACTTAAAAAACAATTTAAAAATCCAAGATGTGTTTCTGTATTGGACTTGATTTCTTGTATTTTCAACCATAATACTCAAAATATAAATTTAAAGCACATTATTCTCTTAACAATGTTTTTATTGATATTTATTATTTCTACTATTTATAAATTCGCACAAAGCATTTTTTTAGCCTATTAATGAGTGATGGGCATAATCAAATGATTTCGATAATGAAATTATTAGTAATCGAGAGAATCTCTCGAAAAATTACTCTAAATTAAAATCGTTTATTCGTTTGATTAAAATAATAGACTATTTTTACTGATTTGGAATATTATCGATTACGTTAAACCCATTTATAAGTTATAACCAAATTGCTGACCCTATGTAGTTGGGAGTGTAAAGCGAAGATAAAGAAGAAGAAGAAGTTATAACCAAATAATTCAAATAGGTATAAGTAAAGAAATATGCATCTACTTATAGTAAATGAATAATTTAATTTCCTTTTTTTATTTGTTGGTATAATACCTATTATTAATTGAATTGTAATTTAGAAATAATAATACTTAATTATTAGTGGGTGTCTTAAATAAAATGGTCTAAGATGTTTTATTTTTATTAATCGTTCAATAATTATTATTATCTTCAATTTAATTATGTACCGTAATCCATGTTAACTGAAATTTTTTCGAAAATAATTTTATTGCATAAATAAAAGTGTTAAAGAATATTATAGAGCATCCATAGAATATTATAGACCGATCTTTTTCCTCTTATAAGTTATTTCATATATTAAATATAAAAAAGTTTTATAGATTTTGTGTAATATTTAGTTTTGTAAAGTAGCATTCCTGAACAACTTCAAAAAAGTTTTTATCATAATCGAAATATCTCGATTATGCCCATCACTACTTTTAATCACTCGCAGTTATGAATAATGATAACTCCCATTGTCCTGTAGACAGTTACTACACGGACCTCCTCATCATGTTTTCTCCCCTACCCCACTGTGCTGGCTATTGTATACATACATTCTAGCTGTTTGACATACATTTTTCATTAAACAACTAACTTCTTGGGTTAGAATAGTATAAAATATTCAAATTCAAATTTTTTTATAACTTTTTTACATTCACAAACGTGTGGTACTCAAATGAAATAAATGCTCTTTAGTGAATAATATAGTTATAATATTTTATTACAATCTTGAATTAATTTGACCATTGTAATATGGAAAAAAATATGAAATGCATCTATTACATTGCGTAACAACAGGACCCCTTTAAAGTATAATCACGGACCGCCCAAAAAAAATAAACAATAAACCGTTCAATTGTATTGCCATTTAATATTAATAATAACCGTAATCTAAATTTGATATATACAAATATAACCGGGTAGGTTCGTTATTGCCTTTCAAGAGGCTGGAGGCAGAATACTGACAATAAATTATTATAACTTAAAAACGTTATAGGAAACTTTACCAATATATGAAAGACCACTTATGTATTCAAAATTAATAAATATACATTCAATAAAGTTCATAATTTTCAAACAAATTTACTTTTGGGTTATTTAAAAAAAATGACAGCCCCTCCATGGACCCCCGAACAACCATCTACGGACCCCCCCAGGGGTTCCCTGGACCACCGGTTAAGAACCTATGAACTAGGGCATCAATACACTGAATACATAATACATAGTATACAGTGTATGTAACATGAAAAATTATATTATACATATCTTAAAAAAAACAATATTACTAAAATAAATTCAAAGTTATATTACAATTACCTGTTCAATTGAAAAATAGTTTAAAATACATCGTGAGTACGAATAAATTTATCTACCATTTGTATTGTAAACACTATTTGTGTTACACCATTTGGCATCACTGTATATTTCAATTTTTAATTGTTCATAATAGACGATAGCAGCTGAAGTGACTGCATGATATCATATCAAAATTCAAATTTTTTTTAATGAATCCTGTTTTACTGACTACTGTTATTTATGTAACTTATTACTTATTAGAAATTAGTTCGATTGGCTCTAAAGACTAAACACTTTAGACCAGCTATTACTCTTGATGTACAATGTATTTTTTCTAAAATTTCTTCTATGTTACTCGTTTCACAAACGCTAATTTACTATTAAACAAAAGCCTACCTACATTTTGGAAGTACTTTAATTAAGGATATAAAAAACAATAAATTATACAATAAAACTCCTATTTTACTCTTAATTTTAAAAAAAAAATCTGAATTAGGTAGACAATGAGAATAATGTGAATTGTGCCCTTGACTGGACTCTCGATTTGTTTTAAATAGGTAAGCTAAAAAAATAAATTACATTTTAATATTCGTTTTTAATACTATTTTAATTTTAACAATAAGAAGTGAATAATTTAATAAATATACCTTCAAATCTGAACTCAAGAGTTATTTTAAAATGTCGTATTTTTGTAAGAGTTACTTAAATTAAATTGGTTACAGAGTCCAAAATTATTTAAATACTTGAAATTTTTGAATTAAAATACTAATACTAAAAACATTTTTTTATTTCAGTATTGATGATGTTTATGTTTAATTTTAACAATGTCGATTCAAGTACAACAGAAGTGGTTTGCGATAACCAAAAAATGATTGAAGCTGAAGAGATTTCTATGACTACTATGGAGCTGGAAGACATCCAATTTCAAAGTTTAACGTTTGGAAACAATACGATGAAAGTTATTACAGAAGATCCAAGTACGCATAGTTCAGATCTGATCCCTGGTATTTATGAAGGTGGATATAAATTATGGGAATGCACGGCGGATATGTTAAATTACTTAAGTAATAATATAAATATTGTTAAGGGAAATTCTATTTTAGATCTGGGCTGTGGTATGGGCCTCTTAGGTGTACAAGCCCTGATGTTTGGTGCTAAAAATGTTGATTTCCAAGATTATAATAAAGAAGTTTTAATAAATGTTGCTATGAAAAATGTTTGTTTGAACTGTATAGAGAAATCAGATAGTTGCAAGTATTTTTCAGGTGATTGGGATTCATTTACTATCTTAAATGAAAATACTTATGATGTAATTTTGACATCTGAAACTATATATAATGTTAGTTATTATATGAAATTAATTAACTTGTTTAAAAATAAATTAAAACCAAATGGAATTATTTTTTTAATTGCCAAAAATTATTATTTTGGAGTTGGTGGATCTATAACTGAGTTTTTAAATGTATTAAAGTCATTTAAATTAAATGCTGAAATTATTTGGTCTAGTACTGATGGTGTAAAAAAAACATTATTAAAAATTTATTTTTGAATATTTGTTATTATTTTAATAAATAATAAATTGTACCTGTTTCATCGTTTTGTCAACTAAAATTGTATTATAGCATTTCATCATGTTTCTTACTTTATCTTTTTTAATCGTAAATTTTCTTTTTTAATCTTCGCCATACACTCTCAACTACATGGGGTTGGCTACCCTAGTCCTACACCTCCATAGAGCTCGGTCTTCTACATCACGTTCAAACACCCCAGCTATCCTCATATCACTCTCTATTCTGTCCATCCATCTTTTCTTTGGCCTCCTCTTCCTTCATCTTTATCTCACTGCCTCTGCATCATCTCTTCTCATAACATGACCGAACCATCTCAGCCTATTCTCACTCATTTTCTCCACAATTGATGCAACCCCTAGACTCTCCCTTAAGTATTCATTTCTTATTCTATCTTCCCTAGTCACTCCACTCATCCAACAATATTTTCTGTCGTACAGTACACACGTGTGTGTGTGTCGTGTTAATTCGTAGCGCTTTTAGCTTTCTATTTTTTGCCTTTATCCTATTCTCAATATTTATCATGTCTTTTAAACCAGACACACCGTTAAAAAAATCTACATCGTCTAATTTCGCTTCAAAAGGAACTTTCTTTAGAGGATATAATGAAAATGCTCAAATCGATGCAAACTTCTCAAAACTCGAAATTCAAAGCGATTCAAGACAAATTTACAAGCTAAGTATTCTAAATAAGGCATTTGAAAACATAGTCACATCTTTAAATAACCTAGTCTCAGACAATAAATTACTTAAAGATAAAATAAATAATCTACGTGACCGCGTATCATTATTGGAGTCGACAAAAACCCCGACCGATATGGATATGTCCACATCCGAATTGATTAAAGAAGCACAAATGAGAATATTAAAAAGTACCTAAGACTGTTGTTGTCTTTAATATAGAAGAAGTATCAAATGAAACTAATGATATTTCTAAAGATTTAGCAAATAATATAATTTCGCATCTAAACCCGAATTTAAGTGTAGTTCAAGCTAAACGTCTCGGGAAAACACATTCAAGTAAAAGACCACTTTTTATCCAGTTTGAAAACGAATCCGATGCCATTACACTTCTGAAAAATAAAGTTAAACTCCGAACTATTAGTAAATGGGAAAACGTATGGATTAATGCTGACCTAACATTAAACCAACGTTCCAAAATGAAAAGTTTAAGGGAAGAATTAATCCAGGGGCGTAAAAGAGGTGATTCTAACATCATAATTAGATATGTAAAAGGTGTTCCTTCAATCCTGTCAAAAACCTAAATTATTCCTCAACGGTTCAAGATCATAATCGCTCTTTCTTATATTTAAAGCACAAATCTAATTTAAATTTTACTTTCAAAAAAACTAAAAAATTGTACAAATTGTAATAAAATTATTGTAAATAATAACCGGTCTCTTTTGGCCTATTATCAGAACGCCCGTGGTTTACTTACAAAATTAACAGAATTAAGATTTAATATACTGTTATGTAAGGTCGATTTTTTTGGGTTAACTGAAACGTGGCTAAATGATTCAATTTGAGATTCAGAGCTTGGCTTTGATGATTATAATGTCTATCGCGTTGACCGGAGCGCTAAAACCAGTTCTTGTTTGAGAGGTGGTGGAGTAGCAATACTGAATATGCGTGAATAAACGTTTACTCTCGGAAATTATCGAGATCCCCACCGACAATGTTGAACAATTGTGACTGTATGTGGTTGTGGTAAGTTAAAATCTATTATTGGTGCATGTTACATTCTACCTGAAAGTTTAGTTAGTATTTACTCAGCGCATACTGATACCGTCCAGTTAATATTGTCTAGTGATAAAGCCGATTCTACATTTATATCATAGAGTAATGATTCTCTATGATTTATTTTAAGAGGGCATCGCACCGGTGATTTTCAGTAGTAAAAACATGTTTAAGCAAACTGAAAATAACTCGCTTAATTTTGGTTTTAGAGTGAAAGCACCCATTATAAAATTAAAAGAGAACAATATTCCGGAGGGCAAGACGCTGCGTTTTAAAAAAAAAAAATTCATTTTTTGAAAAGTTACAGTCATTTAAAAATGTTAAAATAGTCGTTATTACTAAAATATGTACTGAGCGTTATATTTCGAATAATGAAAAAAACACACCGTCTTGGCCTCCTTAATATTGTTCTCTTTTAATTTTATAATTGGTGCTTTTAGTCTAAATTCAAAATTAAGCGAGTTATTTTCAGTCTACTTAAACGAGTAGAGACGAAAAAATATTTTTAAATCGCTTTCAAGTATGCTGTGATGGTCCAAAAAATAAATTAACTACCAAAACAGAGTCCTAGTTATTGAACTAATAATTACACATCTCAGTTTAATCTTTAAATTAGGATTTTGTAAAATTTTGTGGCGTCCTCTTAAGCAATCGTGTTACGTAATATATGTTTACCAATGACGGGTTAAACTATAGACATCAAATACCTAACTACTATTTAGTAATAAATTAATTACTCACAATTTTTGAATGAGATATCTCTACTTGCACGATTTTAGGTCACATTTTATTTAAGTTTGACTGGCGTACATTTCTTATCTGAGTCACAGTGTGCTGGGGTAAATTCTCAAGCCGGATACACACTCGCGAGCCGAATTGCTGGCACAGATCCGTCGGTTTTTTTTAATGAGTCTACTGCCTAAAGCAAACTATTTAAGTTGGAGGTTGTCATTAAAAATATTGAGAGAGGTTCGGCTTGCTAGTGTGAAGAATAGTGACGTGTTATGTATTACACATTTTATATGTGTATTTTGTATGATATAGTCAACTTTTTTGGTGAAATTGTATAAAGATGTTGAATTTGATGCACTGGAGATACTGGGTTTAATTCCTGCCTCAGGCTCCGTCTCTATCTCGCACAAGCTCTGATTATTATGGGGCATTAGAAATAGTAATAAGTGGATAAAATATGTATCTCTACAAATCTTGGTAGACATAATTTATTAAATTAATCATAAACATGAACACATTATGAATATATTTATAAATCAAAATACAATTTTCATTTTACATTCTACTTCATTTATTAAATTTGAGATAAGTATATATATTTTTTAATTTATTTATTTGAGGTAATTTAAGTGAATTATCATATTTCTTTGAATTAAAAGCTTTAGTATAAATGAAAATTATCAAAACGAAACATAATAAATTAATGTTGATTGAACTATTTATAACTCAATTGAATACTGATCAATTAATAAATCACACATCACATATTTTCTAAACATGATTGGTATTTATTAGACATTATGTTAGATAAAATTTAAATAAATCAAATTGTTTGTTTAATAAATTTCAGATTATTATTTTTAATTTAATTCTACCTTTAAACCTTTGAGATCACTGTGCTTCATTATTTCTTTTTTATTGATTATCTACTTACAATGTTATGTTCATAATTGATCATATTGATTTACATTCTACAGGCTTTGGCAAACCCTATCAGAACAATTTTTTTTTTTATGTATTAAAATACATAACAAAGAATACACGTTTCTAAAATAAGTAAAACTGCTTATAAAAGCAAAGCTATTTAAAGGTGTGAAATACTCTTCCATTGAAGTTTGGCAACACGAAGTTCATGTATATACTATTGTTTTTCTATGTGTTTTTTTTTAATAAAACATAGACTATGCTACAGTAACTGTAGCGAAAATAGTAAATAATCTCAGGCGGGGGGAGTGAAACCCCCCCTAGTATCCAGTTTTACTAGATTTTTCTGAAATTTTAGGTACGCTTAGTACACAAAAAAAAAGATTTAATTATTTACTTCAAACCGCAGATGAGTTAAGAACTTTTTAAATACCTAATAAACATACTTTCGTTTTGAAATACATTTTTTGTTTCAATAATTTATATACTATTAATTATTTAAAATTAAAATTGTTTTCTATGTATGTAAAAGTTTTTTTTATGTTTGTATAGATACCATATTATGACGTTTAAGACTATATTAACATAACATAACAAAACTGCTATAATATTTGTTTATTTTATTGTTATCTATTTCTATTTTACATTTAAAAGATAACTAACTTTTATAACATTATTTTAATTAAAAATCAACAAAACACTTAAATGGTGACTATTTTATGTAGGGTGAAGAAAGAGGCAACCAGATTTTTTTTTTAACCCACGAAAACTTAAATAATACTTTAATGAATTTTATTAAAGTGAGCTGTAACAGAATTATTGTTTTACAACTTTTAACATTTTAATTTCCTAATATATAGGTAAATTGAATACATTTTTTTACATTAGCAGTGCAAAGGAAGCGGAGGACGACCCCATTCAGGTCTATAAGTTTTATTATCTTATGGACCCATCCTAAACTCTAGTTTCGCCTATAGTATTGATTTTATTTTTTAATTTTGGCTTAATTGATACATAATATAGCACACAATATTAGCATCAAAATTGTTTTCATCAAATTATCATTAAACAATAAATTATTAATTATCAATAAATGACACTATATTTTCATTGATTTCTATACTCATAATCTACTTAGATATATAAAAAAAATCATTTTGTTTAGAAATAATTTCCTGTATCGAGTGTAAAAAATTAAGCCATTAAAGACTAATGGTACCATGAATAGGTATATAAAAATTTAAATTTCATCCATGATGGCACTAGTACTGTAAAGCTGGTTAGGATTCATTTAAATTGTAACTTGAACATTTTGTAAAAATCCACTATAGTCAACCTTGGATGGTATAAGATAAAATGCAGGAGATACTTTGGCACCACACTTACACTGACATCCCATAGTCCAACTGTATGAACCAAGCTTAGAACAACATTTGGGACAGTTAATTTTTCCATTCTCAGATTGACTCACTGACATCCAAGATATTGGCTCAACAAAGTATGTATCCGAACATAGTTGTGATTGAGAAAAATAAGCTGAAGACCACTTAGAATCTTTCCATGATAGTTTTTCATTGATATAATGAGGTAATAGATTTGACTGCAATGCTAAAATTCTTCTGAAAAAATAAATTTGATTTCAAATACTACTTAAATACCTACTTATGTTAAATTGCACAAATCTTAATTGGTTCCATAAACCCTTATTAGAATTCTGTGATGAGTACATAATACCGTTTATGGAACCAATCAAGTTATGTGCAGATACATACAGGGTATCCCACAAATATTTGACAAAATTAAATAACTTTTGTACTAGTGAATATTTTTTTTTTTTTAAATTAATTTATATGCATTTACGCTATAAATACCAATGATTGCCCATTTTATTAAGAATTAGCTGAGAATTTTGGTTGGTTGTTAACCAGTTTTGGGTAACACAAAAAAAAAAAGTAAAACAGTTAGGTGCAATAAAAATGTGGTGTTTGCAGCACAAATGAGTATAAATTAATTTAAAAAAAAATTTTAATAATGTTCACTAGAACAAAAGTTATTCAATTTGTCAAATATTTGTAGGTCACCTGTAATGTAAAATAAATACCGGCATTTTCGGCAGCGATAAACTTTTGGATCAGGTTTTGCTGAAATAAGAGATGGATCCCGTTTAATCACATCTGTACAGTCTTGTGGAAGTATTTTGACTTCAATAAAAAAATTTTAAGTTAATATTTTGTTATAAAAAAAATAACAAAAACTAACCTTTTTTTACTTTTCTAGCGGCAATTTTTAGTCTGTACATTTTGTACTGCATATTATCTTTGTTAATTTTCCAACCCAGAGTTTCATATAAACAAAGTTGAGCACAGAACCCTGCATTTGGCGAGGCAGTTACATTTTTATCTTTAATTCTAAAAATGTAAAAAAAATTTTTAAATATTATATTCATTAGTAGTATTAAAGTAATAGATAAATAGAAATTTAAAAATTGTACATACTTCTGAAATGCTTCTTCAAAACTAATTTTATATTTTTTCATTATATAAGAAATTACTATTGTTGTACTTCTAGATATTCCAAAATAACTAGAAAATCATTTTACACATATTACCAAATTCAAAAAAATGAGTACAACATACATATTATGACCTAATACTACATTTTTTTAGCTTCGATGTGAAGCAGAGAAGGTATTTTCCTTTTAATAGATAATATAATATACATAACAAATAAAGTTTATAAAATAACCTATGATCATTTCAACTGTAAAACGTACTGACAAATCTTAACTTAATTTTAATTTCTTAATTATTGTTTGAAATTTTACACAGAACTTTATATGAGAATCAAGAAAGGTTTCTTAATCTTTGTGATTAAAGGTCATTTTACACACTTAGATAAGAATTCGTTCTGTCAGGACAACTATTTAGCTACTTTTAAAAAAAAGGCCATTTTGCAATACTAAACAACTTTAATCCCGAGTTTTAAAGCTACTGTCGGTTTAGAAATAAAACATGTAAAACCAACACATTCTCAGTTTCTCATTAAAGCTAAAATATAATATATATATATAAATACAAACCAATGTACAAGAACAGAACTTTTTTCTTGACCAGTCTTAATAAATTCATATGAACTATCAAAATAGCTTAGAAGATCTTCACCAACCATGTCAGTCACTAAAATATAAATTATCCAATTTATATTATTTATTACAATTATTAATATTTAATTATCAAATTAGCACCTTTTATTTATTTATTCAATTTATATATTTAAGCATTTTATTAGATCAATTTATAAAGGGTTAACAGAATTAACAGCACTTCAAAGTATAACAGTAATTAAAATTAAATTTAAAATACAAACGGCACAACTATTACATTTTTTTTTATATCTAAATTAAATTTTTCGTCATAAAACAACTGTAGTAAACAACGATAAATTGAGTCTTTTACACATGAGACACTTTTTCCATTGTTCTGAAAACAGTTATACATAGATTCTAATAGAAAATTAGAGAGAAATTGAATAAAACCATTAATTTTAGTCAAAACGATATACTTTCTTAAAATTTATGCTAACTATATTTTTTTTAAGATTTTATTCTCAATTTAAATCACCACAGGAAAATTTACAAGTTAACTTTTTTTTATTCAATCATGAAAATGAAGGTTCTTATGAAATTATGAATTTTAATTCGCTAATATATCATGTGTTCAAGGTTAATGTTATTAACTATTTAAAATACAGTAATTTTGTGTGCCATGAAATGGTTCATAGATCATTTATCAAAAATGTGTAAATTAAGTAACTATTTTACAAAAGCCCTATTGGTAATTTTTATTGACTGTTACTTTGTTTAAGATATATATAGATTTTGGTTTTTTATAGGTATTTTTGCCATTTGTACTCGTTTGTAAAGTGTTTCTAGTGCCAGTGTCAAAAATCAATAATATAATAGTGAAACCATTTTATTATTTTACCTTGTATATATTTAATGTGAATATCTCTTATATCAGATATCATTTCTGGCAAAGGACAAGAATCGACTGTGACTATATAGTTGATATTATTATTTCTCAAAAATGTTATGTCTACTGCTGCAGTCAAATTTCCTGAAAAAAAATTGTAGGATAACAGTTAGGTAAAATGATTATTATACTATGCTAACATTGTGTTTTTATAGGTTGAACTACTAAGTCAAAATTATAATCAGTTACATAAAATTTTACTTCCAAAACCAAAATATACATATTATTTTCATACATCATTAAATTAATATTATAATAGTAATATTTAAAATGAATTAAACTAGATATGTATATTTTAAACAGAGTATTGTAATTCTACCAAGCCACAATCTATCTTCAACAGCAAAAACGTTTCTTGGGCCCGAGTCAAAATCATCTCTACATAAATTTGACATTCTATTCAAAACTTTCAATACTGTAGATAAAGACTAGGAAAATGAGTAAAATATTGATTCGCAGTCAGCGCATTATAAGCCGCAAGTTAATTTGCAAAATTTAAAATAAAATAAATTAAAAATTGTATTTTATAATAAATAACTATAATATGATTATTATGTTGTATGATATATAAATTATAAACAGCTTATTAAGAAATTTAAACGGTATCAGTGTAGTTTAGAATAGATAACAATACAACAACATTAGATGATAATATATATAAATATCCATGATTTTTTTCTTTCATGAAAAATGGATCAGTTTTTTTTTTTATTTTTTGATAAAAAAAATCCGTATATGAGCGGGATAAGGATGATTCCCCTTCTTACTTTTACTATGCTATGGTTTCATTATATATTTACTTACTGTACATACAATTATAATACTGTCAATTGTAGTTTATCAATTATCAGATTGTCTAGAATTCTAGACTGTACATTTACTGGGAAGAATAATATGTTTTAATTTTTTAAATAAAATATCAATTACCTACTCACTTGCACTGCAATGGCTGCAGTTGCTCATTGGTGTTACTTTCAAATACTATCTACACTATAAAAAAACAAGTATTTGAAATATTAATGTGAAATATTTCATTTGAATCATATTGCTTACAGGTAACTGAATATTCTGTATTGCAAAATCACTATAACCATCCAAAGCTGATTTGTAAGTCTTGATACATAAACATATTTCATTTTGAATGTTTATTTTTATAATAATTATTATTTAGTTAGTAATTATGGAAGAACGAAGAGTAGTTGACTATTTTGTAGTGGTTGGTGCTTCTGATGAACAGTCTCAAGATGATATAAATTCAACTCATTTAAAGCAAAGTCTATGTTCAGATCTTCCACCAATTACTGATTTAGCAATTGTTTTTCCTACACTTGGTGAAAAAGTGCCTTCTGGTTATACTTTAATTGGGACAACACCTGGAGGTAACTATATTTAATTAAACTTTATGTGCATGTAATGAAACTATTAATATAGCTTAGTTTGTATTTATGTAACTCTTTAAATAGGTCTCGTAGCAGATCTCAATCATGGTAGCTTGAGAAGTCCAGAAGTGTTTTTATGTTATCGACGTGGACGTGATAAACCTCCAATTGTTGATATTGGGTAATAAAAGGTCATTTTTTACGATGTGGCTGGATTAAATTTTAATGCGGTCTTAGCGTTTAGAATTTGTTTGCTGATCATGATAGTCTATACCTCCACAAATATCTAAAAGACAACAACAGCCCTATTTGAAAAAAAAAACAATTTTTTTTTTTTAAATTAACAGAAATAATTTCTGAAAATTATTTTTTTTAAGGCAAACCTAGTTATTAAATAATGTTGATTACAATTATAAGTACTAGACTACATAAGCTTCAAGTAAAACATAAAGATTATTCAATTCACTGACTGCCTTCAGTAAGTAATCAGTAATGACAATAGTTGGGATGATTCTTATGGATTTATTACTCCTAAACAGTTTTTAAGTCATAATGGACTAATTCCATCGCCTGTTCATTGTAGAAGCCAAATCCTAACTTGAGTTTTTATGCAGAGTAGTCATATGGTAGAATACGGCATGTATTACATGTGTTATGAAAGCTCTTGATTCCATATAACTTTTCTTATCTAAGTTATCAATGAAAATCGTGAAATCCAGACCCAGCAGCTCCCTGGCTTTTTTTGTTTTTTATTTAAGATGTTTGGGGGGGAAACAACAAACTATTATGTTCAGAAAAAAAAATCACCAAACCCAAAGACTTAACATTAAAAATTGATTCAGCTTAATGTTTCTTAATTAAACTCTTGATTTTTTTTTCTAGGATAATGTATGATGGAAAAGAAAGAGTATTAAAAGATGCTCATGTATTAAAAACCACTGTTAGTGGTCAAGTAGCTAATATCAATAACTCTACATCATCTCGAACTTTCATTACCTATAGAAGAGCATTATCTACTGCACCGTGTAATATACTAGCAGTATCTCATGTATGTGTGGTTATAACTAGTCGTGGTGAAACACCACCACATGCTTTTTGTTTAATTCACAAGAACCTAAATAAAGGTATGGTTGGATCAGATGTTTACTTGTGCTATAAGAAATCCGTAATGAAACCGAAGTGTATCACTTATAAACCAGGTAAAATGTTGTATGACTTATTGATTTATACTAGTTAGGCAATACTAATTAGTACATATTTTTAAAATTAGTTGAAGATTTTGATTGAATGTTGATTTATTTTAAAAGAGTGATGTAAAACCATTGATATTATAACATACAAATTAGGGATGCATTGCAGAAAACCGGTAACCGGTAATTGCTGGCAGCAGAGGTTTCCTTTTCATAGTTTATAGATATGCAGATGGTAGTTAGAAATATGTGGATTGATAGAACCCTCTTGTCAGGGGAAATCCCACATGAAAATGTTAAATTTTGTGTATAGCCGCTTATCTGTATATGTGAGGCAAAAAGAGAAAAAGACCTATTGTCACAAGAATTAAATTTTGGGTTATTGGTTTTTCCAAATTCTGTACATTATATTATGACCAAAATTGTTCACCTATCTTGAAAATTGGCCAAGTTATATTTGTTTAAATTTATCTTTCGGAAGCAACTATCTGGTGGAAGAAATAATGGCCACCTGCACCTCTCTCTGGGGCCAACTTGTTTGGTAGCGTTAGGTTATCAGCCAGCTATAATCCCAAAATGCCAAATCTAAATCGTCTAAACTCCAATCAGTGGAATAACGGACGTTAAACATAAGAGGAAGAATGAAACTTAACCAAAAATTAAAATTAAATGCTCTTAAGTAAATAACAGAAATTAATATATATACTTTATTAATATTATATACTTAATAGTTATCACAGATCAATATCCAAAAAAAGATAGAAGTTATTTCCATCTTCTACCTTCTGTAGCATTATTTTGTTTACCAATGGGAGCAACACTTGAAGCATGGCCAAATCAAGCTAGTCAGCCAGATCCTGTATTTTCAACATTTGTTTTAACTGTTAGTGATGCTTCCGAAAAAGTATGTACACAATAGTTATAATTAGTTTACAGAATAAGTACTATATATTTTTTTACTTTTCTAATTTCTAGGTATATGGAGCAGCAATTACTTTCTATGAAAAATATAATGGGGATCTTTCAAATGAACAACGAAAATTATTGGATATAAGTGAAGATCTGAATAGTTCAAAAAATGAAATAAGTTTACATACAAATAAAAGCATATGTGTTCTGTCACACTGGCCATTTTTTGATACTTTTGAAAAATTTCTTATGTTCTTATTGCACACTTCACTTAGTGAGAAAATCCCCATACCGATTGAAAGGTATATTACACATTTGGTAGATGAAGTACCATTCCCATCTCCAGAAAGACCACAAATTCTTGTGCAATTATCCATGGATACGCAACTTATCTTGACTCAACCAGAAGATTTACCAATTCCTAGAAGGTAGTTATACCATTAAGTTGAAATCGCCTATATATATATATTAATAATTTACAGTGGAGCTGGATTTCATCAAATGATAATGAATTTGCATCCAGACAATTGTCTTCTTTTACTACTATGCGCTTTAACAGAACAGAAACTACTTATTCATTCATTAAGGCCTGATGTACTAACAGCAGTAGCAGAAGCTGTTTCTACTGTAAGTATTTAATTTCAATGGAGAGGTATTATGCCCTCCTAAGCAAAAATGCCGTAATTTTCAATACATTTTTTGGTAAAATTATTTAACATAAAATTTTTGTTTTGTTTTATTCCAAATTTAAGTCGGAATTTGGTTTTACAGTACAATTAATTGAGTACAAACAATTTTTCTGTATAATATTACTCTAATAGATATAACAGCTTCAGTGGAATAATCCAAACTAATATATGGATTTTGGTTCTTGTTCCAAAGTCATGTTGTTCAGTGTAATTTTTAAATATTATATGCATTAATATATTGTTCTATTTTCTAGCTTATATTTCCATTTAAATGGCAATGCCCATATATTCCATTGTGTCCTTTAAGTTTAGCTGAAGTTTTACATGCTCCATTACCATTTCTGATTGGAGTTGATTCAAGATTTTTTGATTTGTATGAGCCGCCCACTGATGTAACATGTGTAGATTTGGATACGAATACCATTACTCTGTATGTTTATTATTTTATCCTTAATTTTTTGTTTGTCTTCTTATAATAATAATATTTTATGTTCTATGATTAGATGTGAAGAAAAAAAGTATTTAACAACAAAACTTCTTCCAAAAAAGTCTGCAAGAATATTAAAAAATACATTAGAAAAGCTTTACGAAAAGCTAAATGATCTCCAAACTAATTTTCAAAGTTCAAATAATAAAACTTTTCAAGAAACGAATATTGATAGAAATTTTTTATTAAAAAGAAAAGAAGTAACTATTTATTATTATTATTTAATTGCTTTTTTAACTTTTTTTTAGTGTAAATTTAGTAAAAAATGCATAGACTTCATAATTACAAAGAAATTATGAATATTATTCATCAGTTAAATTTGAAATAAATTATTTTGTTTAAAAACTCTTGATGATGAAATATTTTGTATTCCAGCACGAATTAGAATTGGAAATTCAAGAGGCCTTCCTTCGATTTACAGCATCAATATTAAAAGGTTATCGTTGGTTTTTGAGACCAATTACAAAAGCACCAACAGTGGGTACTACAGATACAATTTCATTGTTTGATCTACAAGGTATTTCTTTAATAATTGGTAAACATTAACAGCAACTGATATATCTATAAAAAAATTATATTAGATATTTAGATGAATAATGTACTTTATTGGTTATTTCTCTCTCATATTGGGGATATTATAAGCAAAGGTATTAAAGGACATGAGTACAGTAATTTATTAAGGGCTAAAAGAACACTATAAGCAGTATTTGACTGCATTTTTCCTATGAAAAATTATAATTTTGAATATTTGTTAAAGGATATTTCTAGTGTTTAAAATTAGGCTCTTGGTTTTTTAATCTCTTTTTCTATGAGCTATATCAATTGTTAAATAAAAAAGGATTTCACAAAAAAAACTTTTTTTGTTTGGTTTCAATATTTTGCATTTTTTTTTATAAAAAAATAGATAGTGTTTGTAGGGAACTACATTGGATATATATATATACCATGTATTAGATTATTATATATTAGAAAAAAAGATGTATCGTATTGGATTAAATGATAATCCAGAATTAAAGAATTGCTAATCACAAAAACCATATTTTACAGGAAAAAAAAATGATGTGTTTTTAGAACAAATTGTATTTTCAGCAGTAGAAAACATTTTAGAATAGATTGTCTTGTGAACAATAATGTGACAAACAATAATTTTCTTTTGTAAATCACTTTTTAGGATTTTTGAAATCTATAGAAAAATCAAATCAAAAGTTTTATTCTCTTTTAACAAAAACTCAAATGTTTATACGTTTTATTGAAGAACGATCCTTTGTCTCAAATATGGATGCAGCTTTAGAGTTCTTTGATGAATGTTCTGAAAAAGTATTAAAATATTTTTACTTTTATTTATCTTACAGTTTTATTAACATTATTTGAAATATTTTATTACAGATAGATACAGAAAATAATGAAACACGGCTAATAGAATTAGATTTTTGTGGTGAAAGTGAAAGGACTGTCTTCATAATGCCTCCAGAAATGAATGACTTACCATGTTTTGCTCCATACTTTTATAAAGTAAAAATTTACATAATGTTATAATTGTATTTTATGTAAATAATTATTGTTTTAAGGATGGTTTTGTCCTAAACCCGGAGTTGTTAATGTCTAAAGAGTCAAAAAATAATTTAAAAATAAAAAACGAAGATCACCTACCTATTCCTGGCAGTCCTATGGCGAGGCGCACAAAGCACGAAGTTAAGTCAGCTCAAAAGCTTGCTCGAAAATACTCAACGTCTCCTGGTCTTTGGGCAAAATTTTTACTCGGAACCTGTTATAGGTAGTTTTAATTTATCATTCTTTACTATTTTTATCTAAAAATCTTATTAAAAAATATATTAATATTCAAATATCTTATAATTTTCAGCTTGTGGTTTATCCATTTACCAAGTCATATTCTTCATTCTGAAGACCGTGCTGCCTCTGTTTTACGCTCTGCATATGAGCTGTTAAATAAATTTCAAAAAAATGGTGTTCAACGATTAACTGATGAAGTATATATTTTTCATTTCATTTTGTAATAAATTATTACATTGTATATTACATTTGCAGGTTTGCTACAGGGTTATGATGCAGTTGTGTGGGATTTATAGTCAACCAATGTTAGCTGTAAAATTATTACTTGTTATGAAGCGATGTGGTCTCCATCCAAATGCAATTACCTATGGTTTTTATAACAGAGCATTGTTAGAATCTACATGGCCCTCTGATTTGAGGACACCAAGCCAGTTACATTGGAATAAACTTAGGTAAATTGTATTTTAATTAGTATTCTAGGCTAGATTATTTTTTTCAGTATCAAACCAAGTGTCACATTTTAAATTTTAAATGAATTTGCTATGTCGTAAAATATCAAAATAGTTTTTATTTTTCAGCAACAACCCTAATCTTTTTCACCCTGATACTAAAAATATTACTTTAAACAATATTGCCTTTATTATTTATTTATTTTTTTTTAATATTAATACAGGGTGATCAATTTAATATAATACTCAAAAATAATATTAATTTTGTAATATATATGTTTTTTTTTTATCCATGTTAATTTTTTTAACATGTTTTTAAATATATATGTTACCGCCAATGTCTGAAATCAGTCATTATCAGTAATGACTAGTCATTATTAACAATGGCTGATTCGGTAAGGCAATGCTGACATTGCCTAAACAATAGATAAAATGACTAAAATAGTTAGGCAATGCTAACCAGCAATAGTATTATGCCCGGCTGCCTCTCGGAGAGTGATTTCTTTTTCTGACTTTATTGTACTCTTCAAATCAAGAAAACTTTCCTCTAAAACTATTTCTGTTCGTGTGTATCTGTGCTTTAAGAAGTCATTTTCTGTACCTAAAATTTCAATTAAATTTATAAATAAAAAATAATTTATACATAATCTCATTTTTTAATTGTTATTATATTGCACTTACTAATGTTTTTATAATCATTAGGAATTTTATTTAAACTAGCTGTGTTCAAATAAGTTTTTTAATTTTTTACTTCTTCCAGCCGTCTGTTATATTCCTCGACACTCAAAAATGATTTTTTATCTCCACGTTTTTTAAGCAATAAAAAATAAATGGATTTATTTAACTTTTTACGCAATTCAGCTAAATCTATTATTAATAATTATAAAGAACACACACTTCACAGTGATATTGCAACACGACTGAAAGTATGTGGGTAATACGATTATTTTGTTAGAGAAAAAAGGTATGTCATAAATCGATAATCAGCTTAGGAGTACCAATAAATGACATTGACTAAACTTATTATTGACATCAACCAATTACGGAAATATACATTGATTGCCCACAATGACTGGTAAGCTCTAGCATTACTACACTGACATTGCCTAGTTATTATCAACATTGCCGAAATTACTGACAATGACAGTAACATATATATTTTTCAACCGATCAACCTAATAAGTAAGTAAAATACCATTTGTTTTTAAAAAACTGTTGGGACACTTCTTAATTGAGGAAAACTTAAAAAATGTCTGTATTGATTTATATATTATACCTATTTAATAGTAAAACAATACAATACTTGACATATATATAGAAAAAATACATAAATTAAGTAGCTTATATTATAAGAGTGAGAACAAAGTTATATAAAATATAAATCCGTTTTTATATTATTTTAATTATATTTTAGGAATGTAGTAATATGTACTGCTCTCTTCAAAAAAGCTGGTGCTCAAAATAGGAAAAGACGAAATTCTACGGAAGAAGATAAAATATCACATACATCATTAGAAAGTTTGTCAACTGCAGAAAAACAATCTTCTATTTCAAATAGTAAGTTCTATTTTTTTTATTATGATCAAAATAAATTGAAAAAATTATATATTTAAAAGCAAATTAAAAACAGGTAAAAACAATTTTTTATTTCATTTTGAAGTTATGCGCTTGGCCCATTTTTTTTTGCCAAAACAATAACAATACAAATTATTTTTAAGCAATCTTGTACCAAATACATTTTTTTTATAATCAAAAATATACATTAATCCACTGCTAGTTGCACGGAAATGGCAGGTGCATGATTCATTTTTGGTGCCTCAGTCCTATGTATACATTTTTATAAAATCAAATTTTTGGAAATCAAATCTTTGATTATAGTTTTTACTAATTTAACTTACTAATAGGAAATAAAAAATAGTTATGAAGATATATTTAACCTGTTGTCAAGATACTAAAAATGTCAATTACTTTGGATGGCTCAAAATGTTTTCATTTTAGGGCTTTTCTTTTTTTTTCTTTTTTTTTTATACTTTTAGGGATGTTAAAATAAAAATTTTAAAGCTCCTACTATAGTACATACTATTAATTCATTCATGTATTTTTTGATTATAAAAAAAATTACATCTATGTACTAGTGATATCTTCAACATCTACAATTTTCTTCGAAGCTGAGAAGGAATTGTTTTTAAAATGATGTTCTTTTTTGTGTCTGTATTCACTATATCTTGTAAGCCACTAAACCGATTTATTTGTGTAGTAATTCTATAGATCAGAAATCGTACCTATAAGGTACTTTATTTGAAATTCACCCCTTCAAAATCGAGAAGAATACCAAAAAAATTTATATAATTTCTTCTTAAAATTACGCACTCCATAACTTTTTTTAAATAGTCCATTTAGTTCCAAATTTGTATAGAATATTCTTAAGAGAACGCCACACCGGCCATTTCTATGGAGTAAAGTATAGGCAATTTTTCGAAAAATCTTAATTTAGAGTTTGAACTATAATGCATACTTATTATACAGTAATGAGGATACTTTGTTGATTGCCATTTTTTTGTCAGACTATCACAGTCATTTCTATAGGATAAATTACAATTTTTTCCATTCAAAACTGCTTTGCGCGAATTAATTTTTCTCAGGCTTCATATATAGTTAAGGAAAGAAATTCATACATATTATTTATGACAAAGTTATTTGTGTTCGATCATCCGTATTTTTTCGATATACCTAATACAACCAACGCTATATCATTTTAAGTCAAAAAATTTTTTTTCTTAATTAATTAATTATTCATTAACTGGTTGAAATATTAAAAAAAGACGATGGTAGAACACAGACAATGTTGTTGTCTATATTGTGTAAAAATTTGTTTTCTTAATTTTGATTATAGCCTTTGTAAAATTAATCTGCGTAGGGCGAGTTTTTTGAAGAAAATAACGGGTGTGTGACGTCTTCTTAAGATATAGTACTACCGATAAATGTTGACAACCCAAACAAATATCATAAACCCTTTAACCTAGAATAAGTGGAAACATTTCTTTATTTTGCTTTTTAACATGGATATGTTTTTGGACTGGGGGCCAGTTGAAAATTTGTGTGTTGCTTTTTTTGTTAATGCGAAAAATGTAAGGCTATACCATAAAAATAATTCGGTAGCTACATAGCAACAATTGTTGTAAACAACAGCCACATGATGACGCAAAACATTTTGTGATGAAGTTTTTTCGCACATTCGTAATTTTCTAAACTCAAAAACCAAGTACCAATGGAATCAAAAAAACAAACCCGGCGAGTGAATAGGGAATTCATATCCTCCACCTCATCACGTATGTGTCCCAACAAAGAAACGCCCATCGTAGATCCTTAGAATGTAAAGAACCTTATGCTGAACGACGACGACTCGTTGTTTGTCAACATATTGAACCTCGCCAACTAAGTGGACAAAAAAGTGAGCGTTTTTGGAAAACATAGATACATAGCATCCTAAATACATGAGCTGATCTCATGTATACAACGAGCCATAAACTTATATAAATTAATAGTCATTAGATAAATTAATCAACATTATAACATATTTTTAATTACAATATATGAGTAGCTACAATATATACATGTTTATAGATCAACCTTAATTGTATCCCCCCTAATACTAAAACTTATATTTTAAGCTCATAATTGTCATTAGATACAATGTTTTTATCAACATTTCTATTTTTATCTGTGAACACTGGACCTCTTATACTTACTACTACTACTAACTACTTACTACTACTATTACTACTTACCTATAATACTTTCTTACTGTGCTTGTTTTGAACTTACTATCTACAGATTCATATCTAAGCGCTTATTTGTGATTAAGTGATTTTATCACTCAGTTATAATAATTCCTGTAGACCTGTGACCTCGCCATCATAGGCACAACTAGACCTATATTTTAAGGGGTGCTAAAATTATGTATACCTGACTATACATAATTCTTATCTTTAGCCATTAGATATAAAATAAAATATTTGTAAATAAACAGTTTTAACAGAGTATGTACATTATTAAAATATTATGTGTACAATTCAAGAATTGGAATTTAAATTTTTAGGGGTGCAAATTTTGAGTCTTGAGGTGCTTAAGTCCCCCTAAAACCCCCCTAGTTGCGCCTATGCTCGCCATCCCCACTATGCTTTGACCACTACTGCTTTTTTAGGTTATTTCGTTTTATAGACTACCCAAATATAAAGATTACATAAAAAAGCCAGAGAAGTCACTTTTATTTAATCTAAGAAAAACATGTTCAAAAATATCTAATAATGCAGTATTTTAAAAAAAATATTATGACAACAAAATCACTAAAAATGTTGAAAAAAGTGTTTTCTAGTTGTTTTTTTTTTGTACCTATGTATAGATATTGTAAATTTTAATACTTTGTATTAATCAGACATCTTTTTGATTTAAAAAGCACCCAGGAAGTTATCAATAAATGTTGAATCAAACTTTGGATTAAGAGGTCGCCCTACCAGTATTGTTAAACAAGTTTCTCTATCTACTGAAGATGATCAGTCATGGAGTTCACAACAATGTAAGTAATACATTAGCACTGTAGAGGCGAAGGGCCTTATTTCAAAAATGACAAGTTAGATTTGTTTTCATAGAGTTAAGATTGTATAGTAAAAAAAAAATTGAATTTATACAATTTTAATTTTTAGTTGAAAGTAGTGCTGGTCTTTTGATGACAACTACATGTTCAAGACCAAATTCAGCTTGTTCAAAACCATACAGCGATACCATTTCTGTCGAGAGTGAAACTGATTTAAAAAGGTATTTATAGATTTTGTTAAATTTTTGTACCCAAAACCAAACGAGATCATTTTTTTTTTTTTTTTGAAAATATAGTTATACTACAGGTAAATTGTCTTTAGATATTTAGTAATTATGAATGTTTGAAGACTTACATAATATAGTTTAGTTTTGTATAAGGTGAGTTTAATAGTAAATAATTTAATTTTGGAATTTTTAATTTTAGTAGTTAGAATTTTTCTGTAGAAATTATAACTGAAATTGTTGATAATAAGTAAATGGTTTCTTATTTTATCCATTAAAAATGTATTTCCCTTAAGAAAAAAAAATTGTTTTCGTAAATTAAATTAGTAGAACAAGTAGATTGTTACATAATTTTTTTCAGAGGCCGTAGTGGGTCTCTAACAGATGAGATTAAACTTCAAATGTCACCTAGAAGGCATCACCATTATCATCATCCACTACATAATTCATCTAATGGCACATCATCTGAACTACTTAAATTATTAAAACGGTGAGTTCTGGTATAAATATTTAAATAAATAATTATTCATTATTTAACAATGAAATTCTATGTTATTACAGTTCAAAAAGCTTTGGTAATGATGCTCAGATTTTAAAAAATCTTAATGACCTAAAATATCAAACTGACTATAAAAAGTCAAATGGAATATCAAAAAAACTGGTATTTGATAATTTGAAGGTCTATGATTTTTCTTTAGAAAATCTCAGTGAAGAAAGCACTTCTAGTAGATTTCCTGAATCTGCGCAACGTACTCCAGTATTAGAAAATGACCCCTTAGGTGCCCTTCAAGAACCTTTAAAACCATCACCTTCCCTAACCATTCCTAATACCACTATGCCACGGGTACGATCAGGTATTGAACTTGACCGTAGTGGTTCTCCTGTATTATTTCGTGAATGGGGAAACATGCATCGTAGTGCCACTTACAGTGATGAAGTGGGAAATATTGATAAGCACATCCAAAGATCATCTACTATGCCAGCTCATAGCACCCAAGAGTTAGATTCACAAAGTCCAATAAAAACTGCTTTAGGATCTGCATTTAAAATACCTTTTTCGTAAGTAATATATTTGTTAAAAATGATCAACTATAAGAATACTTTAAGCTGGTTTTCTTAAAAAATTATGTTTTAGAAATTACAATTTTACTTAACATACTACTTTTAATACTAACAATTTATTTTGGTTTAAATACTCGTAGTTAGGATATTTTTTTTGAAATTAAAAATTTTTTTGACTTATTGCTTATTGTACTTAATAGTTAAGGAATAAAAACTAATTTCTAATTTAAATAAAATATTCAATTATAAATATTAAAATTTAATATTGGCACATAAATGTTTAAACTGTTCATACGTATGTATACAAAAAATAGAATTATATTTTTCTTATCTGCAAATTTTTTTATATAATTGGAATAATATGTTTTACAATTTACCTACAGAATAATAATTTTATGTTTTATGAAATCATACAAATTTAACAAATAATACAGAATTGAGAGCATGATTTTGTTGTGTAGCCAGTTTGTTTTTTTAAGTATGTGGTACTTAGTTAAATGTATTTAGTGCTTGAAAAAATTAGTATGTTATATTAGGCCTATTGTTTCTGTTCTTTTTTATGCTTAATCATTTAGTAGCATGTATATATTTTTTTTATAGACAGTATACTCCATCAAAATTTTCGTTACCACGTAAGTCTGACTTTCGCATGGGTACAAACATGATCGAAAATGCATTCACCAATCTCAGGTACACATAAATTTATAAGTAGGGTCAATTGTTGCTCTTTTTTATGGATTTCATAATAGTAGTAACACAGTGAAATCTAAAAAAGTGGGTATTACAGTGTTGCACTGTTTATTACTGCTTATCTATAGTATATTTGATCTTTGCTAACGCCAATTCATTTCATTTATATAAAATATGTGAGTATGTATAGAGTAATAATAATGACTGACTATATATGAGTGTTATTGAAAAAGGTAGTTTTAAAAATACTGACATTGCTAATAATAAATTATTTTTGTGGCAGTTCTTCAAGCTTTACTGGGAAAAAATCCAATGAACTCCTCATGGGAGGTTTAACTAGCTTAAAGAGTGCTGCCAATACAGTAGTAAAAAAGTTTGATGAAATTAAAGAAGCCATTTCCACAAATAACACACCTGTAAAAGATTATATTCAGTAAGTACACACAGTAGTTCAATAATTAAATATATACTTGAATTTGATTTAGTGTAAAAGATGTAGTATACAATTTGAATTTTGGAAGTAACTAATGTGTGGGGTAAAGGACCTGACTGATTAAATCAGTTGGAGTCAGTTGCCTCTTTTCTATCTGTAGTCCAGATATGACAAACGGTATCTTGAATTTAGGTAGGTCAGTAGACCTAGTTATAAAAGTTACCTGCCATTTTTTTTTTTTTGTTAGAACAAAACATTTAATATACTTATTTGTTTAGAAAGTTTTAAAAGTTATATAATTTATGTGATATATATATATATATATATATATATATATATATATATATATATATATATATATAATAAATACATTACTTTTAGACAAGCTCTGAATTTTCATCACTCTTCTATCCTTTATATATATTTATTACGAGGGATATTATATTATATAAATACATATGAATAATATATAATTGAATAGCAGCACTGAGAGTGACCACTTTTCTTGGTCAATATTTGAAGCATTCCGTTTTAAAATATCTACAAGAAAAAATCACACTGTTAAATTTGACAAATAATTTGGACAAAAGTGAATTTTCAATTTAATATTTAGTAAAAAGCTCTCTCAACGTCTTTTGGTAGCATAACTTTAACTACTTACTAACTTACGTAACTTTAACTAGCCATATAAATTTGTTAAGACTATAGATAATATTAAGATCATTATTCTGTATTCTAATGCCCTTTAGGCATCAATTATTTGAAGTGATTAAATATTGTATTCTAAACAAAACTATATGAGTTTAATAAGTTTGCATCTTTTGATCTCGCTCCTACCTTTTACTGACCGATCGGCCTATACTATGGTCTTAAAAAATCAGGGAGGTCCTTTTAGTCTTTTTTTTTTAGTAATTTCAAAAGAAATAAAAAACAGTTCAGAAGCATTACATTTAGGTAAAATATTCATTCTTTACTTTATCTATTATATCCGTTGCAAAAGTAGAAAAAAAGGTAGGTAAAAAATTAGAATTTCCCAGTTTTTAGTTCACCTAAATTTCGCACAATATTCACTGATCTACCTTTCATTACTTATGGACTCTTAGATGAGTCCATCTAAGTTTATCCATTTAAGTTAATTTTATTAATTATTAATTTATAAAAAAAATTCTCTCCTGTAAAGTTAAAATTTTTTAACAATACACTTTTGCTCTGGGGTATTGGCATACCAAAAAACCTCCTAAATGTGACTAAACTTGGCTGTAAAACAATGTGTAACAAGGCTTACCTCTCCGTTAGCATACATAACAATCTTTACTAATATGTATTATATTATAAATCAATTATATTACAAATTATGACTAGGTGTTCAAAAGATGAAGATAACTGGATTGGAGATGACATTGAACAACAACAATCCACTGAACCAAGTGTTCGGCGAAAAATATCTAGTGAAATATCATCATTAGCTGTTGCTCAGCATTTGGACTCGTGGAGTACAAATTTAATTGAGTTATTTACAGATGGTCATAGAAAGAGTAGTTCTATCAATATGAATTCTGGTATGTTTTGAAATATTAAAACATATTATGTATATATTATTATTAATATTTCAATATTAGGAAGTGCTACATTGGATTCATCACAACTTAGCTTATTTCAAGAAAAACTCTACAGTCGATCTAGTCGTACTCCTGAATTAGTGGCTATTGAAATTATTATGACTACTTGCTCGAAATGTCATAATTGTGGCTGTTTACTATTTGATGAAGAAATTATGTCTGGTTGGGTACCGGATGATTCAAATTTAAACACAAAGTAACAATCTATCTTTTTTTTTTTTATTAGTTTTTCGTATATAATTCATTGTAGTTCAAAAATAATAATAATATAATATATTGATTAAATTATTAACCCAACTTTAGAAAAAAATTAGAGGAATAGTTGCCTGAGTTTGTATTTTGGTTAAGAGCAGGAGAATAAAATTATGTGAATTATGGCAAAGTAGTGTATCACTACCTACACGAGAGTAAGGAGTTGAAAGAAAGACACTAAGTGAGTTAGGAAAAAATTATGACTCATTATGGTTTTCGATAAAATATTTGTTTTTACCATTTGTAGTAAGTAAATACTAAATAGTTAAAAAAAAAAATACCTATTATTTAAAATCCTATTATATAAAGCGAGTTATAATTGTATATGTATTTTGTAAGTATATACTATATATTATATATTTAAAACGACTGAAAAATGTAAGTATACTGTTGTTTATAATGGAAAAAAGTTGAATGGGAATATTTAGCTAGGTACTCTAGATAAATTCATTTAAGTAATGACTTTGGATAAAACTAATTATAAAATGTAATACTACGACAAAAATCAAACATAAACTTTTCTAAACCATATGGTAATGATTAACTATTTTTATTGAATTAATGATAGTTATCAGGTAAAATATAAATTAAATAATATTTATTTATTCATGTATAGTTATTACTATAAGCAATTATTTATAAATGTATGTATGTTAAATTACAGATGTAGGCTGTGTAACAAAGAAGTAGTACCATTTTTAACTGTAGATGTTATTGATTATCGATCAAAAAATGATGTTCTTGATGAAAATGATTGTCACAGTAATCAAATAAATTTGGACTTGCTAACAAAAAATACTAAAGAAAAAGGTACAACTTAAGAAAAAAAATATCTAGATAAAACTATAAAAGATAAATTTTTATATAATCCTGAAAATGATCATCTAGCTATTCATTTTTTGATGCACATAGCGCTAGAAAACCAACCCATAAAAATTTAATTTTGCTTTATTAAGCAACATTTTTCTTGAAATAATGGATTTGTGTTTAAATTTGGGTTCTGGTTTCGAAGTTTAAGTTAATATGAATTAATTTGAACACAGTATAGTTAGTATTTTTATTTGTTTCAGAAATATCAAATAATAATTACAGAGCAGACACAATTACAGTTCCTTACTTAAACCCTCTTGTGTTGCGTAAAGAACTTGAATCTATTCTAGCAGCAGAGGGAGATATTTCATTAACACATTTTAAATTTGTCGATGAACACCCTATAATATATTGGAATTTGGTAAGTGAAATTTATTATAGATTAAATATAGTCATGATGGACAACACCTGTTGTTAGATTTGCCGCTCCATTTTGCGGATTTCATATTAGTTTAAAACATACGTTTGATACAGTGAAATCCAGAATTGCAAATAAAATGTATGTAGTTGATTGTTACATTAGCGTTAGGTATCTATAGTATATTTAATCTATGGTAATTTAATAATTATAATAAGTGTGATCCACTCACTACACTGTACCTACACACATAATAAGTAATGTAGGGGAAAAAATTGTAAAATTTTTGTTTAGGTATGGGTGTTTGAAAGAATTGATGTACAGTCACACATTCCAGGATTATGCCTAAATGCTAGTTGTGTTCTTGGTGATCGTGACATTAAGTCATTTCATTCCATTTGGACAATGTGCGATTCTTCAAATGTATTAATAACAAGTCTTTGGGATAATCCAAAGCTATATGATGATATTGGTCTTCCAATGTACTCCTTCTGGTCTGATGAGGAATCAAAAGAAAGTTGTTTAATTAGTGCTTTAGTCACTGATCGAAATACTATACCAAAAAAGTAAGGAAATTATGATGATTAGTAATAGGTAAAAAGGTATTAAGTTTAATGTACTAAAAAAATGTATTATGTTTATATTTATAATTAAAAGGTATTAAGAAATAATTTAAACCTTAATCCAATAAATACTTTTTTTTAAATTTAAAGTTAAAAATACAAAAAGTATTTTACTAATAAAAGCTTATGGACTGGTTGTGCTCATTTTAACCAAAACATTTTCTTAAAATTATTTTATAAATTGGTTTATAAAAAATTAGTGAAAATAGTAATTAAGTACCTAAAAAACATCTTAAATATGTTGAAGTTGATCGATTTGGTTTATCGATTAAATCATTTTAGAAAACATCATTTCAGGAATAACGGCTTTCTGCAGAAAGTATATTAATATTGTTTGTATATGTACAAAACCTAAAATTCTTTTTAAAATTTTAGTTTAATGTCAAAAGTAATTGCCAGCATTCGTCGCAACAATTTATCAGATCCATTAAAGAAATTAGCTGTTGAAAGAAATAAATTACGAGGAAACGACTTGTCTCACAGTCACTCATTATACAGGGATATTTTATTCTTAACAATTACTGCTATTGGCCGTGAAAACATTGATATAAGTAAATATTATTGAAAAGACAGCATTAAAATTAATTACATGATTAATTTGATATATTATTTTTTTTAGGTGCCTTTGACCAAGAATATTTAATAGCTTTTGAAAATTTGTCAGAAAACGAATCTAAACTTTTATTAAAATGTGATCACCCCATTTCAATCGGAAGTCAATACTGTCGTCATCTTTTTAAAGAACTCGAGCTTTCAAATTACAAGTGATAATTTAACTACTTTATGTAAATCATCTTTTAATGTGTGATATATACAAATGTAAATGTTCATCTGCTCACATTAATATGTTTAAATAATATCAATACTTAACAATGCAGCTTTAGCATAGCAAAAATCCAATTTCAAATAGTCAGTTATTTATTGACTTAACTATTCAAACCATTATTAGTTTAAAATATTTTTTTAATATTTATGATGTGTATATTAATTATCATGTTTTTTAATATTGAATATTAACATGTACTTTTTATGTGTTGTGAGTAACTATTAAATGTTGTGATATTTTACAACAGAAAATTGTTTATAATTTTCCATTATTTAAATTTCTATACACAATTTTTTTATATAAATGATATTATTAATAATCATGATTTTTCTTCTTTTGTTTTTAACTGTTTATCTATATCATCAGTTGTAACAACTCCATTAAAATTATGTAATAATTATTACAGATATGTATTTGAGTATAATTGTAAAATTGAACGAAGTATAAAATCAAAAATTAATTACAATTATTACCAAATCAATTACATTTAAGTTTGAGGGATTTCCACATTTTAATGGATCAGGTGAATTCTTCGATTTACTGAGGGAAGAAAAAACTTTTATTGATACTTTTAATCATATAGTGATCATTTTGGTGGGTAAATATTTAGCTTTGATGGCGAGCTGAGAAGGTATTTTATTTTTATGTATCTAGACCCTCTAATCTTTTAAATTGCTGAGCCAATTTCTTCATGCAGAAAGTCTATAGATCAAAAATCATACAATAGATAATACCAAAAATGTAGACATTTTTAAACATTAAATTACGCTTTGACTTTTTTAAAACAGAAAAATTAGTTCAAAATTTGTATGGAATATTCTTTAGACTAACTGAAAGAATAATATGAACCCTTTCCCCTTAGATGAAGTGGCAACTTTTTTCTTTATATCAATTTTTATGGCGTAATATGAGAAAATTAAACAATGTTGTTCCAGAATGGGGCAAAACCCCCCAAACAATATTCTTAAAAATATGTATTTTTTTTTTATTAGATTGCCTAGTAAATTTCTAGGTTGCTGTATGCGAATATATCAAGTCATGAGTATTGGAGAATATTTGTATTTATTTAAATTGTTAATTACGATTTATGTGTAACTATAGCATATGGCAATCAATTATTATTATAGACGGTAATTCTAATTGTATCTACCCTTATACTAAAAATATATATTTGAGCATAATATGTCATTACAATTTTATCGAATTTTGTAATTATTCCAATACAGATTCGCATCAGCGTTAATTTGTAAGTAATTTTATCACTTTAATTTGTAATAATTGATATGGACCTGTGACCTCTCGGCTCTGTCAACAATATACTGGATTTTATTTCCATTATTTCAACTATTGCTTTTTCTAACTATTAACAGTCATATTTTAACTATAGTGATCAATGTTAAATTGTTGATAAATCTTAAAGAAACAATATCATGACATAAATTACATTTTAATAATGTAATTAAAAGTTTTTATGAAGTATTAAAACCAGAAAAAGTGATTTACGAATACTTAAAATTTTAACTTAATTTTTACAAAATAAGTTAAGTTATTAGAGATATCAATAAAACATACACAGCCTAGAATATATTAATTTTTAATTAAATTGTGATGTTAATGAATCGAGTTAGAAAAATTCAAAAAACTCTTAAGCACAGATATTTCTCTAATTACTGTGAAAATGTTGTGGTTTTACAATATTTCAAAGACGCTGGCTTTTATTTTGAAACTGTTATGATGGAAAAAGATTTAAATTTGTATACAGAAATAATCGTGTCTGACAATTAAAACCAATAAGAATCCTTACTACTGTATACATTAAGTTAAGGATCTAAAGTATAAAGATTTTGAATGAAACTACCTACATTTTACCCCATAATAAATGGGTAGGTAACATCCTCTCAATAACAAGCTTTTTACAGTTTACAGCAATAAAAACAACCAATTAGAATAAACAATTTTTTTTATTATTCATCCACATTTATTTTTTACTACTCTTAGTACCAGAACTAGAAACAGATGATTGAGACATAGTACGTTTGCGACTCTGTTCAGCTCGTTTTTTAGCTAACTTTTCCTTTTGTCTGTGTGCTAAAAGCTTAGCGTATTCAGCAGCTTCTCCTTTACGCTTCAAACAACGTTTCTTTTTTAATGCCAGCTTATGACGTTTGCGCTATAATTTATAATAATAAATTATAATTAAAGTAAAATTATTTGTCTTAATGTTATTTGTTTTTACCTGAAGACGAACAGGAGTAATTAAACGTTGAATTTTAGGCGCCTTGAAGTATTGTTTAGTTTTTCCCTCCTTAATTGGTAAAGGCCTCTTTATTACATATCTGCGCACATCATCTTCTTTTTGTAGATTGAACAGCTTACGTATTTTATTTGCACGTTTCGGCCCCAAACGACGGGGTACATTTGTATCAGTTAAACCAGCAATATCCTAAAAATTTGACCATTGTTATTATTCACTGACATAAATATACATAGCTATAAATAAATGTAAACTGTACACAACAATTAATAGTATAAAAAAAAGATAAGATGCCAACAAATTTTAAATGACAATTTTGTTGTATTTTATTTAAAATTTTTCAGGCATACCCATTTTCTCGACCCATTTTTTCACATTTTCTCGACTTAAACATACACGAGATGCTTTCTTTTTTAATAACATAATAGTTAACTGCAGCCACATTAGGCTGTTAACTATTTAAAGGCACTTTAGTGCGGTTATTAAAATTTTTTCTTTTTTCTAAGAACACAAGGAAATTTTCCCCTCCCTGGGCGCTTTAGACTGTAGTTATACACAATTTGCTACTCCCCTATATATTAAAAAATCTATGATATGTACACAGTACCTAAATAATATTCACTGTAAAAGAAAATATACTATACTACATTCCACAAGAGAACATACCGGGCAGCACCGGTTTACATTTGGCAGCACGCATCTCCCACCAAGCGCCTCTCATCGCGACATGCTTTGGTTAGGTGTGAGATTCGGATAGGGACCACAGTGTATTTTCAGCAAGAGTGGGAGAAATCACAGAGACTGCCAGCCGTCAAATAGTGATGCGTAAAACCGGTATATTCTTATTTGGAAAATGTATACAAAATAATTTATATCGCTTATACACTATTAATGATTAAGAATAATCATTCATAAAACTTTAAGTGAACATTTATTTACCGCCATTCCGATGCCAAAACATTATTAAATAAAATGAGTAAGCAGGAAAATGTCGGATTGTTAATATTACCACTTTATGGTTCATAAACCAATACTGAAGTTTGCATTTTCTTCTTACAAACTGAATAATAGAAAGTATAGTATCAATTGTTTTAACTTGAAAAATTATAAAATTCAGTGAGGTACTAAAGTAACAACAGATCTTAATACTTCACTAAACAAAAGTTTACCTAATGACTGAATAACACCTCTATCCAACAGCAATTCAACTTGTATCGCTTATACACTATTAATGATTAAGAATAATCATTCATAAAACTTTAAGTGAACATTTATTTACCGCCATTCCGATGCCAAAACATTATAAAATAAAATGAGTAAGCAGGAAAATGTCGGATTGTTAATTTTACCATTATATGGTTCATAAACCAATATTAAAGTTTGCATTTCCTTCTTACAAACTGAAAAATAAAAAGTATAGTACCAATTGTTTTAACTTGAAAAATTATAAAATTCAGTGAGGTACTAAAGTAACAACAGATCTTAATACTTCACTAAACAAAAGTTTACCTAATGACCGAGTTCAACTTGTATTGCTTAAACACTATTACTGATTAAGAATAACCATTCATAAAACTTTAAGTGAACATTTATTTACCGTCATTCCGATGCCAAAACATTAAATGAAATGAGTAAGCAGGAAAATGTCGGATTGTTAATCTTACAATTTTATAAATGAAATATGATAATATTTTAATTTAGATGGTGTTTTGTAAAAATGGCATAAACTACAAAAAAACAAAAAATGACTGGTATCAACATTTTTACAAAAAAAATAAGCGCATTATCTGTAAAAAGGGTAACTATAAATAATGAGGTCTGCTCTATGTACACTAATACAGCGTTTGATTTCTTATCCAAAAAAACAAGAAGTACTGAAATATTAAAAGAGCATTTACTACAAGAATACAAGCGAAAAAATAAGGTTGTTCAAAAGGATGTAAACCTAAAGTTATTCTGTGTGTAAACCACTTTGAATGATGATGAATAACTACCCTAACTGACCCTTTCAGGTAATGCTTATACCTATACTAACAAAAATTACAAATAATAATATAATGAAACTAAAGGTATAAAATACTTTAATAATGTTTGCAATACAAAATTAAATGAGTAAGCAGGAAAACATTCACTCAAACTAGTAAAATATTTAATTAAAAAACATTTGTAAAAAAGGTACATACCTTTTCCCCTTTTTTGACGACAACAAGTGAAAGGACACTAAGATTAGCATCAACGATACAACCACGTACTGATTTCCTTTTGCGTTCACCATCTCTTCGTGGACGATAACAAGAATGACCCTTGGACAATAACAAACGAACACGGACATTTGACAACACACCCTGCTTCATGGGAAACCCTTGCTTGTCATTCCCACCAGATATTTTCAATACATAACCTTTCCAATCATCTCCAAGGAGATCAGCCTCTACTTCTGTACCAATACGTTTTTCATAGAAAATACGTAGTTTATGTTCATCTACAACTTCAAACAGTTTTTGACTGCCTGTTGCTGGATAAGACACGTTCAACTACAAAACATAAAAAAAAGTCATCATTACTTGGGAAAATACGATTAAAAAATTAACACCAATTATACTTAAGAGTACTAACTCAATTTTTATATTAATGTTAAGAACTAAATTAATACTAAATATCTCAGATATATAATTTTAACATGAAAATATTTGTGCGATACTATCACATTCAGAATTTTTATCCATTTACATCTTACAATATTTGTATAGAACAATTTTTAACAATATTTTTTAAGAAAAATAAAATTATAACGAATGTACATTACCTTCATGTTGAATCTTTCTTATTAGACAAATGCTAGAACTTAAATTGCATACGACATTTTCTGTAACGGAACACTTAGAAAAATAGTTTATACTTTATGGTGTATAGCCAAGCACCGAACACAGGCAACGCTCAAAAGAGAGGGGCTGGGAAAGCGGCGATGGACAACGCTTATGAATTACTTCGGAAAAGATACAAGAATAAGGTTATAATTCAGTGTAGCCAACTATTGCAAAATAAATTCACTATTTCTTAAAGTAGGCTACCTGGTTCGTATAACATTTCTCTTTAAATATTATATCAAATGTAACTATAACTACCTTTATACCTACATATGTACCTATATAATTTATAGTACATATTATTACATTAAATTAGGAACGGGACTTCTTTTAACTATATCGATTTCTGATTTTTAAAAAAATATAAAAAATTACATATAATATAATCGGCCGTATTATATCGTAAAAAAATTAGTAAATACTAATGTAGTATTGCTAAATAACATATTGAGTGTTAGAAAATATTAAAATATTACCATTCTAAATGTCTACAATTCTAACTACAGGCCAACAAATACAAAAATTAAATTAAAAAAATGATTTTCTCATTAAAATAATATTTTATAAACTTAATGTTTGTAATAATGCAAACCCCTGAAAGACAACTTGAGGGAACCGTAGCATGGTTTGTACAAAAAAATATTAAGTATATATATCAAAAAAAAAAAAACAACCCCACATCATTGATAAAGTTTTTCTTAATACATTGTGAGAATTTGGTAAATTACCCCTTAAGGAGGGCGGAGCACAACTAGTTTTCATGCGTTTTAGACCAATAAGCGGTGCTAAATTAGACATACGCCCCAATGTTGGATTTTAATTATTAAAGTATGTGTGGATTTGTTGACAAATTTTCTGGGTTTCTTAGGAAGGCAATTTTCAATTTTCTCCTTAAAAGACCTCCAAAATTGTTTTTTATTATTTTTGAAAATTCAGTGATAATTCCCGAATTACATTTGAATTTATTTTAGGCATACCAAATTTTAAATCGAAAATCGGCTTCCTAAGAAACCTAGACAATTTGTCAACAAATCCACAGATACTCATGGCAATAAATTATTATAGACAGATGGTCAACCCTAACATTATTAATTATTCATAACAGATTCCCATTAAAGTATTTATTTAAAACAGTTTTTATCACTTTCAATTGTCATAATTCATATAGACTTGTGACCTCCCCCGTCCCCTGGCTTTTTTCTAATTTTTTTTTTAAAAAGATGACGTCAACAATTGACTGTAATTATTTGCTAACAAGGGTAGGTCACATCTAGTGTATTACGAATATTAATAATACAATGAAACTTCTTTAGCTATAATTAAAAGATCCGTGTTAGATTTTATACCCAAGGCGCCATAATTACAAAAATATTTAACTTCGGTTTTATAACAGTGTAATATTAGTAATTTAATGAATATTTATTTCATGTTACTTTTTTATTACATGCACAGAATAAAACAAAATTACATAATGCTTAATTATGTAATACATTTTTTTTGTTACGTTACTATACAAAACTGTAGATTTTATTGAATAAAGTATTTACAATACACTAATTTATTGATAAAAATATACAAAGGAAAATCAAAAATAAACTGTACATTTTGCTTAACATTTTTCATTGTTTTGCAATTTATTATTGCACTGAAATAAAATAAAGTGAAGAAAAACAAGACATCAATGAAAATAATTATTTAATCTACATAATATATTTTTTTATACACATAATAAACATGACTATAAAAAACCAAATATTGTATTTTGTATTATAATGGTTTCAAGAAAATAAACTTTTTCCGATTTCTTTTATTTTTTCTCTAGATGTTATTAAACTATAAGTAGTTGCTAAACCAAATCCAATTACTCCAGCTATACCACATCTTCTAAGGCCTCCTGAAAATAATTATAAAGAGAGGCTATTTAAATTTTAATATGTTATAAATATTTAATACTCAATTAATAAGATTCTTATAATTTTCATAATATTTATGAGATTTTCTCAAGTAATTTTATCTGAAACAAAAAACGTTATCTGCATGGTATTTGTTTTTTTTTTTTAAGAGAAAATATGTTTTGTATCCGGGTTACTCTATTTCAACAGAACAATATATTTTTAATATTGCTCTGGATTACTCTGTTTCAACTAGTATATTTGACTGGTATGTAAATTATGTAATATACTAGTAAATGTTTTATTTCCTTAGTACTTAAGAGTTCATGTGTCATACTTCACTTTCTCTACAGATTTTAGCATGGAACATGCTTTAGTCTTGGCACTTCAGGCTCGAAAACAACACTAAATTGCGATACTAAAGTAGCGCGCCTACTTTAAGCGTATAATAACATATAAGATGCAACAAATTAATAACAAGTTATCATCGTCATGCATAACATTTGGCCAGACATATAATTAAGACTATACTATCATCATAAATGGCAAGGAGATTATAGATCAGAAATAATCACTATTCAGTAGCCAGCAGGCTAAAGCATGTTCCATATTTTATAATTTTAGCCGTTAGGCTTTAAGTAGACTGTAACTTTATTTTTCTAGCCTTCTTCTTCACTATACTTTTTCTTATCTCCCTTCCCATTTCACATGCTATAGTCAAAATCATCTCATCATCCCATCAAGATAGAATGCTTCGCCATGTGAATAATGTTAATTTTGATTTTTAATTAGTTATATGTTTATAATAGGTCCTAGTTTATTTGGTTTTGTGGTTAGTTTTTTTAACTATCCCTACATAATAAAATTGAAAAATGTGTTGTTTATTTTATGCTTTATTCTTAAAAATTGCCTGTTTGTTTGTGTGTATTGAATGAAAAAAAAAATAATAGCAGGTTAGGTTAAGCTACCAGACTATATTATATGATGCAGGTCATCTGGAAAATTCCAGACCGGTTACGTTGTCCGTGTCTATTAATAATACTTTTTTAGGTATTAAATTTATCTAATAAATAAATAACTTATAATTCTTACCAGTACTTTTATATAACATTCCTGTTCCAGTTCCAGCAATAATAGTATTAAGCTCATCTTCACAATCACGGGTTTTTTGCAAAATAACACCTATGCCACTGTAAAAAACTGCTATTGTACCAAATGTATTTGCTAGACGTGCGCCACTTTTAAATATGTTGTTTAAAATTCTATAAAAATTATCATTGTAAATATTATTAATTAAATTAGATATTTTAAGTAGCAGTTTTATTACTGTGTTCTTTTATAAGTGGTAGTTTGATTTTCCATAGAAGTTGTCTTAAAGCCAGTATACATTCCTCGCAAACTTCCTATTACAGCTCCAGTCAAGCAGGAAGTACCCATTTGTGAAAAGGCTAACTCGAAACGTCCTCTTTGTTTTGAACCAGCCCCTTCAAGATATATATATTCAGACTGGGTTGATTGAGACAATATAGATGGATCATAATTGAAATATGGAGACTGTATTGTTGAATACTCGTTTAATACTGCTTGGTTGTTACCTGTACAATATAATTAATAATATAGTAACATAGTAATAGTATGCAGTGGCGCAACTAAAATTTATTTTGAGTGGGGGGGGGATGATACATAATATAGAAAAATGAGTACTGACTATATTCATAGGAAATCTGTAACGTTCCCTAGCATTAATTTTTAAATATATTTCGGGTGGGGGCTCACAACCGCCAAAGCCCCCTTGATAGTAGTATGTATGTAGTATATGCTGTTAAAAAATGAGATGGAATTTGAGCAAAAGTGCATAATTTAAAAAGAGATGCAAATTTTTTCTGTTATCTGCTAAATCAGTAGCTAACCCATAATAAGTATACTGTAATAACCAATAACTAGTAAGAAACAAAACATATTATGGTTATTTTATATTATATATATATATTTTATATTATATATTGAATCTTAAGTATAAAAATTTGTCTAATTTTACCCAAAAACATATGGTACGGCCATAATTGAATGAGTTACAGACATCCACATTACTAGTTAAGGGCTACCTTAATTTGAAACCTTAAGATAAGTATTACTCAGATTACTTCCTGAATAAGTCAAAGGATAACTTAAAACAAATAAAGTTTAAATAGAAACACTCATGTACTTACGTCTTTCATTATCGTCCATATTAAACATTACTTAATTACAACGCAATAAATAGTGTAAAATGCAAGTTTTGAAGATAAAATCTGATTTTCAATAATTCAACTAATAATTCAACAATCATGACAAATTTATTAAAATTAAAATAAAATAAAATGTGACGGGCTTACATTTCTTACCTAAGGACTAAGTCACAGTGTGACTGGAGTACATTTATGACCTGTATGAATAGTGACTGGTTAAATATGAACTACAAAATTTTTTTAGACGATACAAACTATGAAGTTAAACCAAAAATGTATTTTTTACTTATTACAATATATACTTTGTTTTAATAATTGTATTATTACAGCAATGACTTCTAAATATTAAAACGTAATGTTCAATAAATTAAAAATACGTATTTTAAAATTATAGTTACTTAGTGTAGAAAAATGTTGCAATAATTTTTTTCTAAAAATATGTATAATTTATAATATCATACTATTAGGTAACCAGTATCACACAAGTATTATCAGCTGCTTAATGTTATCACTTATCATATATCATCAGCCGCGGGTAACAGCTACTGTGGCGGATGTATGGCTACGAGGCGCCACAGCTAGCACAACCTAGCTGTCGGCATCGATACCGCCTCAACACATGGTCAGATTGCCAGATCTCGGTAGTTGTGACGAACCGTAGCGAACTTCTCGCATGTGATCAAAGTCACCCAGAGCGCACATATAAATACGCACACGACAATTACCGACCCACATTTCGGACACCGGCCGGGCAACCTTTTGCCTGCATTCGCCACACTACCACTTTTACCACAGATATATATAATAAACTAGATTGCTAACTAGCGATAAGAATTGAAACCGACGGTCCGCCATTCTGGTGGGATTTAAGTGTGTTATCAATGCATATAATATATATCTGTATATATAATTCTATCAATATATATATATATATATATATATATATATATATATATATATATATATATGTAATTGTTATAAACATATATTATTCTCTATTAAGTTAACATCACATAAAAGTGGTGTTAAAATATTAATTGTAACAATTTGTAAAAGTGGTGTTTAAATCTACTTTTTAACACCACTTCTACAAAAGTATTGTTAAAATATTAATTATAACACCAATTTCAACAATTTGAAAAAGTAGTGTTAAGTTGTAGATTTTAATACCACTTACAATTTAACACCATTTCCAAATAATGATGTTAAAATATTCAAGTATGTATCACCAATTTCAACAAATTGTTAAAATTGGTTTTAAAATATAGATTATAACACTACTTGTTTTAATAGTGGTATTAAGATGAATATTTTAACACCACTATTGTGGAAGACATTTTACATTATAAATAACCCCAAGTTACCCCAAGTTAACTTAAACTCCTTTTCATGCTGTAAATATAAAAGCTTATATTTTAACACTACTTTTGTAGAAGGTATTCAGAATTTTCTTATTTTTTTATAGTTATTAGTAAATAGTAGGGAGTAGGGACCGTATGAACTTAAGTTGTTTAAATGGTAACGTATATATTTGAATAACGTTTTAAATTAAGAATAATTTGTTAAACATTTTGATTGTTCTATAATCAGTTTTGGTTAATAATTTTCAAAGTTGTTAAAGTTTAAAAATTAGGTTGGGAGAGGAACCGCACCATGTCGTACGTCGCAGGGAACCTTCTAGCGGCGATACCGCCGATCACGCTGTCACCCGTTTTGCGGAACTCGTCCTCAAGGAGAAGGAAGAGGCAGAACGGGTTAGACAGCGACCAAACGGCTGAACGTCACGGTGGTATTTTATAGAATATAAGCATAGTGTATATTGTATAAAGTAGAGTTAAGGAAAAATGTATATAAATATTCCGCCGGGGTCCAATGTGCATATTGTTATTGGGCCCCCACCCCGAAGAGGGTGTGTTAGTTTGTAAGGCAAAAATGTTTAGATTAGGCCAAATGTAGAGAGGTACACGTGGAGCACCCTCTCAAACAAGGTTGTTTATTGTTTGTCAATAAAGAAGGACCTCAAGTTCCTTTTATACTGACTGAAGAGGACCTCAAACGCGCAGTCTGGAGACTGGAACTGAATAAGGCCCCGGGCATCGATGGTGTCACTGCCAAGGTCGTTAGGTCAGCTTGGAGCCTATTCTCGAGTAAATTGATAAATATTGCAAGGGAAATCCTGGACACTTCTGTATTCCCTGAAGCTTGGAAAGAGGCCAGAATTGTCGTGATCCGTATGGGCAAAGATAAGGATCCGGTTTTGCCGAAATCTTATCGGCCCATTAGTTTGCTGCCTACACTATCTAAAGCCATTGAATACGTCATTTGTGAAAGGATCCGGGAAGAAATTAGGCCGAACATCAGTGGTTTACAATATGGCTTTACCAGAGGATTATCAACCGTAAGTGCCATAGACGATATGTTCGGATGGATAGACGGAAGGGACGAGAAACACATCATCTTTGTCTTCCTGGACATATCCGGAGCATTTGATAATCTGAAGTGGTCTACACTACTCGAGGATATGCGCAGACTTGGTTGCACCCACAATACCAGAGCTCTAACACAAAGTTATCTCACCAATAGGGTTGCCACACTATACATGGGTGGTATTAGAAAATCGGTCACACTAACCAAGGGATGCCCACAAGGCTCATTGTTTGGACCAGTACTATGGAGTGAAGCCATGGAGGACCTACTGCTGCACATCACACCCGACCATGTGCGCATACAAGCCTATGCTGACGATATCGCTGTCTCCGTCGCCGCCAACAGCAGGAGGGAACTCATCGCCAGAGTAGAAAAATACATGACCATAGTCAAACAGTGGGGTGATCACCGAGGCTTGAGCTTCTCATCGCAAAAGGCCGCCGACGTGGTACTAAAAGGAGAACTATCCCGGGATTCACCATGGCTTTTGGGCAGGAAAGAATAAGGTCCCTCCCTAGCGCACGTTATTTAGGTGTCATTCTCGACATCAAGAGAACCTTTAGAGAGCATATTGACATGATACTGCAAAAATATTTTTATCTTTTCTCCCGGTTAAGAGGAGCCTTCGGACAAGAGTGGGGTCTTCATAGGTCGACTTTGCACACTCTTTACGAGTCAGTGTTCATTTGTAAAGTTATGTACGGCTCCAAGTACTGGGCACCTGCAGCACTCATCAGCTATGAATGCAGGCGACTACTCTCTCTACAGAAAATCCCCCTCCTTGGTATATCGTCTGCATACAGGGCCACTTCTACTCACGCTTTTCAAATCATTACTGCGTCGATGCCTCTAGACTTGTTAGTGCAGTACTACGCCGCTATCGCTACCTCCAAGCACCTGGATAGAGAGGCCAAAGCCCTTCTTTTATCTGAAAAGTGGAGCGGACTTCTAGAGGTCTGGTAGATGAGATGGGATTCTTCTACCAAAGGGCGCTGGACTTACCGATTTTTCCCGGACATCAATGGCCGTCTTGCCACCCCAATTTGGCTGACGCACAACATAGTGCAGTTCTTAACGGGTCACGGTAACTTCAAGGGTAAGTTACATTCATTCTCGCTGGTTCCGAGCCCCGCCTGCGCCTGCGGTGATCCTTCAGAGACGGTGGATCACATTCTCTTTGATTGTAACCGTCACGCCATCCACAGAGCCAGACTCGAACTGGCAGTCCATAGAGCCGGGCACCTATGGCCATGCGAACCAGCTACTCTTGTGTCCACCAGAGCTCTATTTGCCGCCTTTGAGAAGTTCAGCAACGAGGCCCTCAAGACGCTCCAAGCAGTTCGCTAGTAGACCTGCAACTACAGTAACCTGAGTTGGGACGGTACAGAACGCTAGGCTGGTGACGAGCCGCACCCTAGCCGCGTACCCCCCCCCCCCCTCAGTTCAGCTGCACATAGTCGGGGCCATCACGTCCTCGATCCACAACGATGGAGATATCGCATCCCCATCACAACGGAACGGAGCCAAGCTCCACCGCCCTCATACCCTACCCTCCGGCCCGTGCCAAAAAAAAAAAAAAAAAAATAGGCCCGAGCCTCGCGCTACAGACGCGAGTCTGACGGCTCTAAAGCCGATGCACGCGGGAGCTTAGACCGCACTCTATCGAGAGTTTAAATACGAAGGACAGGCCAAAATAGGAATGGCGCCGCTCAAGCCGTGTGGTGGAAGGCCCACGACCTGTCATGCGCGTTAGCACACCGGTGCCTCATGCTTAACCGCACTCGTTAGTGCTCTAATACTGAGCGGAAGGTTCGCAAGAACCCGCCCAAATGGGCGACGCTCAGCGAGGTCGGCGACCGACAGGGCCGAGGACGGCACGAGGGCCTTTGCTGAGCCCGCTCAGGGGGGTCGGTCGTGCGCTGGGCGCAGGCGGTCAGGAAACTGGCCGCGGTTATCCTTGTGGTTAGGGGAGAAAGAATACTACCAAGGTCTTCGCTCCTGTCGTAAAAGGCGACTAACGCGAAGTAGAGCCCTTCGACAAGTAGCCTTCTGACATGTCACTTCTTCTTGTGACACACCTTCTCCGGCCCGCAATTAGCACCCAGTGCTACTAGTCGGTCCGCAGTCGTTTGTCAATAAAGAGTATCTGACCCGGGGGGAAGTTATGTCCCACTAGGCTGCCCCCCCCCCCGGGTCTATATTGATACACGGAAAAAAAAAGATTTGGAGAGGAGCTCTTCCTCTTGTTGAGTAATACGCACATATTACAATAATTCTATTCTATACATACACTTCCTCCTGTACATAAAATTCAACATTTAAATAATACAGTTTTTAATCGTAATTTCTAATTATACCTAGTGCCGGATTAGGGCCTATTTCTGTAAATATAGAACTTAAGGAATAAGGCCTATTTGCAATGTTGATCACTAAAAAAGGTTGTCTTAGTATACACTATTTAGAATTAACTTTAAACTAAAAGGTGAATCGTAAAAGGTGACGCTACTAAATAAAGACTCAAGACGAGATTATACTTTGAAAATAAGTATAATAGCACAATGCTAAGCGGAGAGTTCTTCCCCGGGCCAAGCCCAAGAGAGTCCTCTCGACATCACAATTTGTGCGACTTTAAATAATAGAAATAAATATATTTTTCGCTGTATAAACATATTAACCGTTTGCCATTTGGCCTAGGTATATTGCTTAGTTTCATAATAATACTATTTTTCCTCGCTCCTACTACAGTTCTCTCGTCGGCTTTTTTTTGATACTATTAACCCAACATTCACAATTTATATTTTAATTCTGACATTTTTTAAACTATTTTAAGTGCTTGTATTTAAGGAAAAATTAAAGTTTTCCATAAAAACCGATAAGAGAACCTAGTTAAAAATCTCCTCTTTTTAACGGTACCAACGTTTTTATTCTATGATCAATTCGCTTTGACCTACACGCTTTATCGTAAACCCCTTTTTTACATGCTTTTCTTTAACTCGCTAACACGTACGTACGTTT